TGAATTTTTCGTAGAAATCTTCCTTCCATGTGACTGATTTCTTATAGCACAGGCATTCTGTTGGAAGGCCTGCTCCAACTACATCTCTTGACCTGAAGAGTTCAGCATTCGATCCCAAGGAGAAAGTATGGACAAAATTTCCCCCAGAAGGATCCAAGTATACTCCACCCCACCAGTCATGCGACTTCAAATGGAAGGATTACTGTCCTGTGGTTTTCCGGTAAGACCTACAAAAGTTTCTTTTGGTTAGTTGTGTGGTAAAGCAATTGTTGGATTTTGTTTCGTACAATAAGGAACAGCTGTCTTTGGGAGAGTTTGATATTTAACTCATAGTCTCCTATACCTGTTAGAATCAGTCACTGAATATGCCTCACTCTTCTTGTATAATACAGACATTTCCTTATTTTACATTCAAAACTCTTGGTTACCTTGTGATGGAAACATACATGGGTAACTGAATTGTTCTGTATATCTCTCAGGACTCTCAGGAAATTGTTTAAAGTAGATCCAGCAGATTACATGATATCAATATGTGGAAATGACGCTCTTCGAGAGCTCTCATCCCCTGGAAAGAGCGGAAGCTTCTTTTATTTGACAAATGATGACCGGTACATGATAAAGACAATGAAGAAGGCAGAAGTGAAAGTAAGTTTTATCTTCTTTGCTTTTCCCCTTTCCTCCTGCTTCCTGCTCCGTTTGGATGTTGATATGTAGTCTCACGGCTCTCCTCAGATTACGTTAAGTCCATTATGTTGCGAGCGCTACTATTTTTAATAATCATGACATCTGTCCATATTAATACTGTGACTGAATTCTGATTTAAATGCGTTTATTCTCTGCACTAAATAATGTGCTGATCTCAACTTGGCCATCACAGGTGCTTCTAAGAATGCTTCGAGCTTACTATAATCATGTTAGATCCTTTGAGAATACTCTGGTCACCAAATTTTACGGCCTTCATTGTGTAAAGTTAACGGGGACTGCCCAAAAGAAGGTAATGTTGTTGGCCAGTGAAGCTTTAGAATTTCTGAGCTTCTAAATTAATGAACTTCATACTTGGCAAAAAAATAAATAAATAAATAAGAATAATAAACTTTTAAGTTTCCATTTTCCAGGTGAGATTTGTCATTATGGGGAATCTATTTTGCTCTGAGTTCGCAATTCACAGGCGGTTTGATTTAAAGGGCTCTTCCCATGGCCGCACAACTGATAAACCTGAGTCGGAAATTGATGCTACAACAACTCTTAAAGATCTCGATCTTAATTATATATTTAGGTTGCAGAAGGTTTGGTTTCAAGAGTTCTGCAGGTATAATTTTATTACTGTCTCTGTCTATCACTCTTTTAGTTTAGGATATCCAAGATTACGAGAACGCTCCCTTTCATTCATAATCTTGTGTTATGTTTTGTAAGAATAGCTAGGGAGAGTGGCCATCATTAGTCATTAGACTGATGTAATATAACTCCGATGTCAATTTTCTCATAGTGACTGCTTAACGGGAGGAACTTGATGAGAGAAAAATAGTTCGTCGGTCAAATTGGTACAAATGTGGATTATACTTACCTATGCTATCATCTACAATCATGGATATTGAATATTAGTTCCGTGGTGGAGCTGCTAAAGCTGGAACTTAAGAACTCTTCTGCAGTTTCGGTTATTATCAAAACTCAAAATTAACTAAAGCCTGATTTTAGGAATAAGAAATGGTTGATTGAGTTGGTGGAGCGTATGATTTTCGGAAAAAAAGAAATGGATTACACTTGAGTGTTATGTGCATATATGAGAATGTTTCGGTGCATTAGAAGTTATATATGGAATATTTTAGCAGTAGTGTATTACTTTAGTTTCTCTTTGTGAGTTGAAGTATACCTCAATGCAGGCAAGTGGACAGAGATTGCGACTTTCTTGAACAGGAAAGAATAATGGACTACAGTCTCTTGGTTGGTCTTCACTTCCGAGAAGCTTCATGCACAGAAAAACCCAAAACTCCAGACCGAACCTCTGGCGCTCGTACTCCAACTGGTTATTTCTAGACCTTTCTTAAATTATTCATACATCTCATAAATTCAAGGGAAAGCCTTTCTGAACGCTATGAATTATATTCCGACCTTGCAGGAAATAGCGACCCTGACAATGGTACCCCACGCCTTTCTAAAGTTGACATGGATCGGCTTCTTTCTGACCCAAACAGGTAGAAATGAATCCATTAATATTGTGCCAAAATAATAATCTTTCAAAGAGCTCCCCGGTAATTATCATTACTTGATTTCGGGATTGTTTCAGGTGGTCTTCTATTAGGTTAGGTATTAATATGCCAGCATGGGCTGAAAGGACAGTGAGAAGAAATGATTGTGAGCCTCAGTTGGTTGGAGACCCAACTGGAGAGTTGTACGATGTCATTCTGTTTTTCGGTATAATTGACATACTACAGGACTATGATATCAGCAAAAAGCTCGAGCATGCATACAAATCATTCCAATATGACCCGACCTCAATCTCTGCTGTTGATCCGAAGCAATACTCAAGACGCTTTCGTGCTTTCATCTTCAGAGTTTTTGTAGAAGGCACATGATGGTGTAGTTTGACCCCTAAATTTTAACTCGAAGCTTGGCAGTCATCCCTGTATAGTCATCGGTCTGTAGCGGAAATGACAATGCTTTGAAAACTAGCAGAAGCATCGGTTACATGGTCATTTGAGCTTGAAAAGTGGCTGCCATGGGGAGCACTGCTTCGGCATATTGTTACTGCATTATTCCCCAGTGTCATAATCTCTTTTAATTTATAGTCACAGATATATGATATGTTCTGGTTAGGGATTAAAGTTGTAAACCAGAGTTACTAGAAGCCTTTTGGAATTGTAAATGATAAAGTAAACCAAAAGGGGTGTGGAATTACAGTGGACATGACGCGATTCGTTCTGTATAAAAATTTGTTACTCTTCCCAGGTGAGGTTGTCTCTGGGATTTCGACTTTGAATGACAAACGTACAGGAGATGATGGATAGTTGATGATGCCTTTACAATTCGATGAACTATTTTTGTCTTTTGTTTTTTCTGCCTTTAAATTATTTTGGGATGTGATCCGTCATAGCAAGAACAGATCATGATCTTCATCTATAGTCCTGCAGGTCCAAGATTCACTAGCATGCCAGTGCAAACCAATAAGGAAGAAAAACTATATTCGATAATTTTTTCAAAGTCTCGAGGGTAAAGTTGCAAGTTCATTGCAAACCGTTTGCGGGTGGTTTGATTCAAAAGTCTCTTCCTTGACCGTACAACCAATAAGCCTGAGTAAGAAATTGATGCAACAACTCTTTCAACAGTTTCACATTGTGCAGCATCTCTATACCATATCTCGTAATGACGACGCTGAAGGCGAGGAATTTGATGAGAAAATATATTCTTTTGTCAAAATTGATTACATGTGTGAAAACTTTGATCTTTGATTATGCAAAATCAAGCAAGCGCTCTGTCTTTACGAAGCCGCTAGAGCACATTCTGCAGAACTTAGCAGCTTCTGCTATTGAAACTCTAAGCAACCAGAGCTGGATTAAGAACGAGGAATCTTTGTCTTCAAGTTACTCATCCTTGCCATAAGTTCAATGTGACGCATTGTTCCGAATATTCATCTTTTGAGAAATCCTGGTAAAACCTGCGCTACATTAATCAGTTTCTTTGATTTCTTAATACATTCTTTCAGATGGGCTGAAAAGGCGACGAGAAGAAGTGGGTGCGAAGTTGAGTTGTTGGCATGCTACAAAGTACAGATGAATGATTTCAGCAGAAAACTTGAGCATTCGTGGAAAGTATTCGAATATGATCCATCTTCAACTATGTTGTTTGACGAAACCAATACTTGCGAAGCTTTCGTACTTTGATGCTCGAAGTTTTTCGTTTGAGGTGGAAATGACAATGCTTACTAGCAGGAAGCCTTTCTGGTCATTATTTTCTTCCTATTTCTTTCATGTTGTATAAAATTTGTGCTCTCTTTGGTGCTGACCGTGGTGTCTCTGTGGGTGGAAGCACAACGTCTCTAACCTCATGGTAATGCAAAGTACATTGGTAATAAGGTAAAGAGGCCAAAGATACTATAAATTGCAATACAAGGCGGTATATTTCCTCCACTTGTGGCTAGACCTAGCCAAGCACGTGGAAGAAATTGGACCAATTAAATATCTTGACATAAAGCTTAATATATTATCGATATGGAGAAATTGTTGTGTATGATTGTTCGTGTCATGTTACTTGATTTCTTGTATGATGCACTTACCCATTTTAATGGAACCAAATGTAGAGATCTCTCTTATTTGAGTCTTGGACGAATATATGACATGACAACATATACTCATGCTGAAAAATTCCTCCATAATATTGGACAAGAGTAAGATGTTATTCAAAACTATAAAAAAAACAAGATTGTGCAGAAAGAGAAACATAAATTATCCGTCGGTATATTTGGGTGAGGAACTTTTTGAATTCCAATGAATTTAGGTGAAGTGAGGAAAAATGAATCCACAAAAATTAAAAAGAGAAATTAGAAATGCGTCACATGAATATTACAAAGCATGAGAGAGATTTACAAATAATTACTTGAAATGAGTCATTTACTTGTCTCTCTTACGTACATTTATTATGCTCATATAGGGCAATTTATAATCAATTTCACCTGAATTTTGGTCCTCTATTTCATTTTTATTTTGCTTAAATCCCTTTAAATTTGAAAATTCCTCAACCAAATGTACCCAAGTTTACCATTTAATTATGGAAGTTTTAACAAAACATTATTGCTATTATTCACTTTTAACGTTAATAATATTTTTACTCTAAAAAGTCACTCTTTGAACTATTCACTCACAATACATTTTTGTCATTTTGGTTAAAACTTAAAATTTTTAATTTTTTTTTTTATTAGTTATCCTTTTAATTGATCCAACTTGGGAGAGTGGGGATTCCAAATTTTGATATATATTTTTAATTTTTTTTTGGTAAACGGATTTCAAATTTGCTTTTGGGTCCAATATCGACCAATCGAGAATTGGTCCAATGCGCTTCTGCCCTTTTCCCCCAAAAGCTAAAACCCTTGATCTTTTGAAGCATGAAATTCAATTCTTTGCATTGGGCAGTTTCTTTGCCTTCATTTGTAACTACAAAGAATGAATAAAGAGTTCCTTTTCTGCAAAATTTTTCCTATCGCCATGGATAGCATTACTGAGGTGGAGATTTGCCGTCTGCTGAAAAGATGGTAAGAAAACTTATCCAAGCTCATATGGTTTATCTATATCCTTTCGAAATTCTAGGGTTTTAATTTCTCCAATTCGAATTGTTCATCGTCAACATTCAACATGATTCAACTCTACAATTTGAAGACCCTCCGATTGGTTAATTCTATATTTTCTTGTGCATTTGCATCCAAACCTAAAAGATTTGTTCTTGCTGATCCAAAACCCTCGAAGCTTTGTCTTCCAAATCAGTTGCTTTGCAGACCCATCACCTCAGAAATCTCAGAAACCCACCAGGATTTCAAAGTCAATTACCTCATAAACACATGTGGGTTGTCCCCAGAAGGTGCAATTTCAGTATCTAAAAGGGTGAAGCTGGAATCTCCAAAAAAGGCAGAATCTGTTTTGGCCCTTTTCAGAAACCATGGATTGTCTCAAACCCAGATATCAAAGGTCGTTAGGTCACGTCCGAAGATTCTTTCCGCCGATCCGGAGAAAACCCTTTTGCCAAAGCTTGAGTTTTTCATTTCTCTCGGGGTTTCGAGGGTGGACCTTGCAAAAACTCTGGCTTATAATCCATATCTTCTGGTAATCAGTTTGGCAAACAGGATTCTGCCCACTTACTGATTTCCTTAGGAGTATCCTTTCAGAGAAAAATGTTATTGCCCTTTTCAAGCGCTACTCGCGGATTTTCATGGAAAGTCAATTCAAGAATGTGATACCAAATATTGAGCTTTTGAGAGAATCAGGTATGAGCCCACGAGGTATCTCCTTAGTGCTAACATATTGCACTCCCGTTTTGATGGTGCGTCCTGAACAACTTGGTCAGCTTGTGGTTGAGGTTAAGGAAATGGGATTCAATCTGGAAAAAACGACTTCAGTGAATGCACTGCGTGCACTGTGTGGTAAGAATAAGTTGGTATGGAATAGAAGTCGCGAAGCTTTGAAAAGGTGGGGTTGGTCTGATGACGATATTCTCTCTGCGGTCAAGAAGAATCCGCAGTGTATGATTGTGTCTGAGCGGAAGCTAATGCAAGCAATGGATCTTTTAGTGAACAAGATGGGATGGTCCTCAGAAATGATTGCCAAATACCCGGTGGTCCTCAGTTTGAGTTTGGAGAGGAGACTTATCCCGAGGTGTTCGGTAGTTAAAGTTTTGTTGTTGAAAGGTTTGATGAATGACAACTTGAATTTGGGTTCGGTGCTGAAACCTACGGATAAGCAGTTCTTGGAGATGTTTGTGAACAGATATATTGGCAAAGTACCTCGATTGTTGAGTGTGTATCAAGGAAAGGTGGATATCCAGGATGCATGATCTTGGTACGCGGAATTTTCCTTCAAGTAAGGTTTAATTTGTATTCAACATCTTACTAAAATTTTGGCCTCGCTGTTTTGTTTTAGATTTATACATGCCTTCTTCGTAGTGTCATCAATCTCTTTCTGTTTTTTGTCCCTGATTTTGGTTAGCCTTGAAAGTTGATTGTGTAGAATGTGCACATGTCTTGCTTTTAATAGGGTTCAATGTTGTCTGTTTTCAGTGAGGAGTGGAGAAACTAATTTTTGTTCACTTCCCAAATTATATGATAGAACGGCTGTCACTCCTTGATCCCATGCTCTGTTACTAATAGGAACTCCTGACAAAGTGTACGGCTGCTTTGTAATCATTTTCTTCTGTTATTCTTAATGACGACGTGATATCTGCAATGCTTGTAGAACTGGGATCTTCAGAGTTCAGGTGGCAAAAAACCCAGTTCTGGTGGGGATGTAATGGATTGTGTTTTGGGAATTTTAATCTTTGGGGTGAATATATTTATAAGGCCTATGGAGATTTTCTGATCTCAAGAGATTGGAAGAGACTTCCTACTAACAACAATTCCCAGTTTACATTAAAAACTACCCCGATCCTTTTACCTAAAGCTATCAACACGGAGAGTGTTATAACAGCCGGAAAAGGGATTGCCGGGTATCTGCGCACGTCTGGAGTCTGGACTGTGTACCTTCTGTATTTGTACTTAATTTTAGCTCAACTAAGGCAGTTGGTTTCTGCAATATGTGTGGAACCAACTATCCAAACAAGTAGCATGCCAACAAGTAAGCAACAAAGGGTAAACGCATAAGGAGGGAAGCAGTGTAACAGTGTCCAGTAATTTTTTATGTAATACTGTTGATATTGTTATTACTAACTAGTTTTGCAGAGAAATATTGACTCGCATTTATACCTTTTCCTTAAACAATCGTGGTGGTGATGAGGGTTTGATCGGGGATGAAGGTGGTGACTCCATTTTCTATACAAGCGATTGTCGATGGTGAATTAATTTAAACTACAGGAAGAGCAAACTATTCTAGCTAACTTGGCTAAGCTAAGGTCTACATATATTGTTGGTTATTAGATTAATAAATCAAAGGAGAATTAAAAGATAAAAAGTAAACATGGGTGTGCGTAAGAAGAAACTAGATTGTACGAAGTCATTTTATTACATGTACAAATTAGATGTCTTAATTTTGTATTTTTGTACTTTATAGCTAAAATTTTCGATGCATTTTTCAAGGCAAAGGGCCGAATAATTCACGTCCATATTTTTTTTCATAAGAATATATTTACTTCAAGGGGGTGGGTACTTGAGAGAAGCAACACAAATGTGCCGATCATAATAAAATGGTATGGAAATCGTCTTCCACTAGAGGTAAATTTAAGACCTCTCACTTACAAGTAAAAATAAATATCACTAAACTGATGGTGCTAAATGACAATATACGCCCATATTTTTAATGTACTATACATCTACGAGCCTCGTTTGGTACGTCAGCCTAGTATTGATTGTTTCAGTCAGACATACGAATTTGTACATCTGATAGTAATGACTAATTAATCGGCATACTGACTATATTATCAAACATTTGATGCTATCTCAGATGAAGAGGTCGGACTATTTAAATTTTTAATTACTTGTTGAGCGGCATAAAATAGGTAGGAGCAGATTAGTTTCTTCGATTCTTATTTAATTAGACAGCACCAACACTTGATTTGTACTAAATAGTATATCTGGCGGTTTGCTAAGCGAAACCCTATAATACTAACTATCCACCTTAAGCATGAGAGATTTTTTAGTGCGCGGAGAACACTGCACATCAAGTCAAGATAATAATAAAATGGGTAAATCTCAGTTTACTACCCTCTAGTTTTGTAGTTTTTAACATTTGGTACATGAAATTTTTTTCGTCCCAGAGTCATACCTAAAGTGTTAATTTTGGGACAGTCTCATACATCCGTTAGTTTGGCTGTTAAGTCTCTCGTTAACTGATGACGTGGCGGTCCACGTGGAAATTAAAAATTTTAAAAAAAAAAAATCCCCACCCGTCTTCTACCTCCCCCCAACCCCCTCCCTCCCTCCATTCTCTTCTCTGCAACCCGTACCCTCAATTCTCTCCTCTACAACCCCCACCCATCCTCTCTCCATTCTTTCCTCTACAACTCGCACCACCCTCCCTTATCTCCTATGATCCATAGCCTGCCTCAGCTCTCTCAGCCATCACCGCAACCGTCGCAGTGACATCGACAACGAAACCACCAAAACCACCATCAGCAGGATAAACTGCCTCGTCGCAGCCAACAACAACAAGATGAAGGGGTTGTTCAAGTCCAAGCCCAGAACCCCCGCCAACATAGTTTGGCAGACCCGAGATCTCCTCGTCTATGCTCAACGCGCTCCCAATTCTCGAGAAAGCAAATGCAAGGAAAAAGTACATATATTTCCTTCCATTATTGATTCTGTTAATCAAAATCGATTCAATTCGATCCGATTGAAATTTTGATTAGATTCTTCCTTGCTTCTATATTCTATTATCTTAAAACATTGAGAAAATTGGGATCGGTGGTGTTTTCAATGAGCAAAGTTGATTGGGATTAGTTCAAGATCAAAGTTTATATTTTTGAAGTTTTTTGTTCATATGGATTTCATTGAAATTGGCGATTTTGAATTCTGAAATTGTTAAATTGGTTTGTGAATTCTTCAGTTTAATTAGTTTTTTCAAATGCAAATTGTGATTAGAGGAGACGAGGGAGGGTGGTGCGGGTTGCAGAAGAGAGAATGGAGGGAGATGAGTAGGGGTTGCAAAGGAGAGAATGGAGGGTACGAGTTGCAGAGGAGATAATGGAGGTAGAAGACAGGTTGTAACAGCCTTCCCCCAAAATTATAGTTTTTATAATTTTAAAATGTGAATTTACAAAAATGTTCTTCGAGGTAAATACGTTGACTTTGGTTGACCAGCTTGTCGTGTCACATAAGATCTGTTTTTTTGGCGTATCCTTATAGTACTCGTCACTACGAACATGTGAGCGTAAACAAAACATGATTTGGAGTTATAACAAAGAAGTTATGAGCGAGTAAAAATAGGGACAAAATAGTCATTTAAATATTTTCTAGAAGACTCTAGATTTTTGGAGCAAAATCTAGAAAGCCACGTGCATGGCCCAGATTAAAGGAAATGAGAAATGATCGGCTGTGATGGAAAGATAAGAGACAAAATGGGAAAGGTAAAGGCCAATCAGGAGATGAGAGAGAAGAGAGTGACGAATAGGGGAGAGAAGAAAGGAGGGAAAGGAGGGAAGAAAGAAGGAGGGGAAAACCGGACCCTCCATTGACCCGTGCGACCCGACCCGGTTTAGTCGGATTTCCACGAGCTTTCTGACGGTTTTTCGTTGATTTTCAGACAAATTTCTTCCCTCCACCCCTAGAAACCAATTCACGACCTCCCCTCTTCCATTTTCATACATTAATCGATAGAATTTAGTCTTGGTTTCATGGGTATACCACCGGCGGCATCATGGGAAGATCAGCGGAATTCCACTGTTTCTGCAAGCACGACCGTCGACCACCATCATTAATTGACTCCCCTTGAGATCTGGATCAAAGGCCAAACAAGTTTGGGGGTGGCGGAGTTGCGAATTCGACAAATCAGAGTTCACCCATTTTGGGGTTTCCGACGGTTCATGGTGGATTTGAGGTTTTTTCCGACCAAATTGACCTTAGTCACAGGTATGAAAGTTGCTCCACTCATCGAGATCATCATTCTTATAAAATTTGGGAATTTTTGAAGTTGTTCGATTTTCCAACAAGTTGGGGAATTCGGCTGCCATGCGTGTGGCGGCGCGTGGAGGAAAAATCAGAGGTCCCTCTTTAGGTTTTCCGACGTGCCGAATTCAAATACACCATATGTTTTCCCATATTCTATCGTTTAGGTATAGTTTTACTAAAATGTCTCTATTTGTGTTTAGGCGAGTTGGCGGGAAGCGATGTTATTCTCAATAGTTCGAGCAACTTTCGGGCAATGAAAAACTTGTGAGTGGACCCTTTCTTAACCTATACATTTTTATAAATATTTACCTAGCATGCATGGCCTATTTTATGATTTGAATATGATTTATATTATGCCTTCATAGATTTCAATATTTATGATTTAAGAAAAATTAAGAATTATTTAAATTACTTTTACGAAGGTTATTACTTATCGAACTACATTCCATTAAAGGTGATGAATTATGGATTTACATATATGAATTCTATGGCTTTCAATTATGATTTATATTATGGATTCATGAGATGACACTTTGAGTTTGGTGAGCTCTGGTTTTGATACAACACATCCGCAAACTACGGGTATAGATGTCTATGGCCATAAGATACAGATGATGGAGGAGTGAGATATGATATATTATATACCCCCAGCTTCACTGCTGAAAGCGGTGTCGACAGCTTCACTAGCTACCGCTAGTGTCTGTGTAGATGTTATGCTATTTGATTCAGCTTCACCTACTAGTGATGGACATGTTATTTAGCTTCACCTTTGGGTGATAGATAGGTTATACAGCTTCACCTTCGGGTGATGGACATGTACTGTCTTCGTACGACTATGATACCTCTAGTTGAGTACTTCACATATATGATTTACAGATGTTTATAAATGTTTTTCACGGCATGCTAGGGTTTTCATAAAACCTACTATATGGGATTATATATGTTTTCAAAACAGGGGGTTAGTATGTTCTGAAATAAACTAGTTTTCGTATTACTAGTATTAGTGTTATAAACTTTGGTCCACTCACCTTTTCTGTTTTCGCGTCCCCTCAGGAGTTAGATTCGAGGCACACGATCCTGGCGTCAGGACATTCCCACTTAGGCATCTTCGAGCCGCTTCTGTGAGAGTCTTATTCCTTGGTTCGTACCTTTCTATAGTAGTTCTTTTACATTATTCTTGTTTAGTTGTATGCTTTGAACACAATTTTGCTTTGGTTTAATCTATTCTAATTACCTATGTTAGTCATATGCGTGTTTAAAATGGCTCTGTCACCCTCGGGTGTCGGTCAGCACTTGCCTACCCTGATATTTGGGGATATCGGGGTTGGGGCGTGTCACAGGTGTTTTTTTTTTTTTTTTTTTTTTTTGATTTTGAATTTTTAATTCCTACGTGGACTCTTAATGACACGTGGTGCCTAGTCATTGTCCATATGGGCGCCTATGTTAGTCATATGCATGTTTAAATTGGCTTCGTCACCCTCGGATGTCGATCAGCACGTGCCTATCCTGATATTTGGGGATATCGAGGTTGGGGCTTGTCACAGGTGTTTTTTTTTTTTTTTTATTTGAATTTTTAATTTCTACTTGGATCCTTAATGACACGTGGCGCCTAATCATTGTCCACATGGGCGCCACATCATCAGTTAACGGGAGACTTAACAGCCAGACTGACGAATGTATGAGACTGTTCCAAAATTAACACTTTAGGTATGACTCTGAGACGAAAAAAACTTCATGTACCAAATGTTGAAAACCACGAAATTTGAGGGTAGACAAACTCAGATTTACCCTAATAAAATTGGTTGGAATCTTAAAAAAAAAAAAAAAAAAAAAATCAACCAATTATATTATGACAATGAATCCATCAACATTGTTTTGAATTTTCATCTTTTGAGAAATCCTTGTAAAACCTTTGCTACATTAATCAGTTTCTTTGATTTCTTATCACATTCTTTCAGATGGGCTGAAAAGACGACGACAAGAAGTGGGTGCGAAGTTGAGTTGTTGGCATGCTACAGAGTACAGATGAATGATTTCAGCAGAAAACTCAAGTATTCGTACAAAGTATTCGAATTGGATCCATCTTCAACCTATGTTGTTTGACGAAACCAATACTTGCGAAGCTTTCGTACTTTGATGCTCGAAGTTTTTCGTTTGAAGTGGAAATGACAATGCTTACTAGCAGGAAGCCTTTCTGGTCATTATTTTCTTTCCATTTCTTTCATGTTGTATAAAATTTGCGCTCTCTTTGGTGTCGACCGTGGTGTCTCTGGGGGTGGAAGCACAACGGCTCTAACCTCATGGTGATGCAAGGTACATTGGCAATAAGGTGGAGAGGCCAAGGATACAATAAATTGCAATACAAGGCATTATATTCCCCTCGCTTGTGGCTATACTTAGCCAAGCACGTGGAAGAGAATGGGATCAAATATTTATCTTGACATAAAGCTTAATATACTCTTCATACGGAGAAATTCTTGTGTATGATCGTTCGTGTCACGTTACTTGACCACTTGCATTAGGCATTTACCCATTTTGATGGGACCAAATGCAAAGATCTCTCTTACGTGAGTCTTGAAAGAACGTATGACATGACAACATGTACTCATGCCGTAAAACTCCTCCTCAATATTGGACAAGGGTAAGATGTTATTCAATACATCTTAATATATCTTTTAGTTATTCAATTTGAATACTACAAAAAACGAGATTGTGCAGAAAGAGAAACTTAGTCATTTACTTATCTCTCTTACACATCCTTGTTATGCTCATGTAGTACGTTTGTAATTCATTTCACCTAAATTTTTGTCATCTATTTCATTTTTATTTTGCTTAAATCTCTTTAAATTTAAAATTTTATAAAGCCTTCCAAGGTAAAGTTTTTATCGAGGCTCAGTTATTTGCATCTTATCCTCCATTTTTATACATACGCATTCAATTATATCAATAAATATCGTACTTTTTTCTAAAATAAAGTAAAATAAAAACTCCTAAGCCAAATGTACCCAAGTTTACCATTTAAAATTAAAGGAAAACTAATGAAAAAAAACTTAAAAACTTTGAGTTTTAACGATAGTGACAAAATAAAGGGTAAAGTGAATAATACCAGGATTAATTTTTTAGTGTAAAAATATAGTTTTTCGTTAAAGTGAACAATACGGGAGTTTTTTTGTTAAAAGTTCCATTTAATTAATCCAACGGCTCAAACTTGATAGGGTGGGGATTTCAATTTTTTTTTTTTTTCTTTTGGGAAATGAATTTCAAATTGGTTTTTGGGTCGGATATCGGCAAATCAAAATTTGGTCCAATGCGGTTCTCCCCTTTTCCCCTAAAAATTAAAACCCTCGACCTTTTGAAGCATGAAATTTAAATCTCTGCTTTGGGCTGTAATTTCTTTGCCTTGATTTGTAACTACGAAGAATGATTCAAGAGTTCCTTTTCTGCAGAAATTTTCCTATCGCCATGGATAGCAGTACTGAGGTGGAGATTTGCCGTCTGCTGAAGTAAGAAAACTTATCCAAGCTCATGTCGTTTATCTATGTCCTTCGAAATTCTAGGTTTTAATTTCTCCAACTGAAATTGTTCATCGTCAACCTTCAACATGATGCAACTCTACAATTTGAAGACCCTCCGATTGGTTGGTTCAGTATTTTCTTGTGCATTTGCATCCAAACCTAAAAGATTTGTTCTTGCTGATCCAAAACCCTCGAAACTTTGTCTTCCAAATCAGTTGCTTTGCAGACCCTTCACCTCAGAAATCTCAGAAACCCACCAGGATTTCAAAGTCAATTACCTCATAAACACATGTGGGTTGTCCCCAGAAGGTGCAATTTCAGTATCCAAAAGGGTGAAGCTGGAATCTCCAAAAAAGGCAGAATCTGTTTTGGCCCTTTTCAGAAACCATGGACTATCTCAAACGCAGATATCAAGGGTCGTTAGGTCACGTCCGCAGGTTCTTTCCGCCGATCCGGAGAAAATCCTTTTGCCAAAGCTTGAGTTTTTCATTTCTCTCGGGGTTTCGAGGGTGGACCTTGCAAAAATTCTGGCTTATAATCCACATCTTCTGGCTATCAGTTTGGCAAACAGGATTATACCCACTTATGATGTCCTTAGGAGTATCCTTTCAGAGAAAAATGTCGTTGCTCTTTTCAAGCGCTACTCGCAGATTTTCCTGGAAACTCGATTCAAGAATGTGATACCAAATATTGAGCTTTTGAGAGAATCAGGTATGACGCCACGAGGTATCTCCTTAGTGCTCACATATTGCACTCCCGTTTTGATGGTGCTTCCTGAACAACTTGGTCAACTTGTGGCTGAGATTAAGGAAATGGGATTCAATCTGGAAAAAACGACTTCAGTGAATGCACTGTGTGCACTATGTGGTAAGAATAGGTTGGTATGGAATAGATGTCGTGAAGCTTTTAAAAGGTGGGGTTGGTCTGATGTCGATGTTCTCTCTGCGTTCAAGAAGAATCCGCAGTGTATGATGGTGTCTGAGCGGAAGCTAATGCAAGCAATGGATCTTTTAGTGAACAAGATGGGATGGTCCTCAGAAATGATTGCCAAATGCCCGGTGGTCCTCGGTTTGAGTTTGGAGAGGAGACTTATCCCAAGGTGTTCGGTAGTTAAAGTTTTGTTGTTGAAAGGTTTGATGAACGACAACTTGAATTTGGGTTCGGTGCTGAAACCTACAGATAAGCAGTTCTTGGAGATGTTTGTGAAGAGATATCTTGGCGAAGTACCTCGATTGTTGAGTGTGTACCAAGGAAAGGTGGACATCCAGGATGCATGATCTTGGTACGTTGAATTTGTCCTTCAAGTAAGGTTTAATTTGTATTCAACGTCTTACTAAAATTTTGTAGGAAGTAAATTCATGGCCTCACTGTTTTGAGTTAGATCAATAAATGCTTTCTTTGTAGTGTTGTCAATCTCTTTCTGTTTGTTGTCCCTGAATTTGGTTAGCCTCGAAAGTTGATTGTGTCAATGTGCAGATGTCTTGCTTTTATTAGGGTGCAATGTTGTCTGTTTTGGGTGAGGAGTGGAGAAACTAATTTTTGTCCATTTTCCAAATTATATGATAGAATGGCTGTCACTCCTTTATCCCCTGCTCCGTTACTAATAGGAACTCCTGACAATGTGTATGGCTGCTTTGTAATCATTTTCTCGTGTTATTCTTAATGGCGACGCGGTATCTGCAATGCTTTTAGAACTGGGATCTTCAGAGTTCAGGTGGCAAAAAACCCAGTTCTGGCGGGGATGTAATCATGTAATGGATGGTGTTTTTTGGAACTTTAATCTTTGGGTGAACCTATTTACAAGGCCCATGGAGATTTTCTGATCTCAAGGGATTTGGAAAAAGACTGACTGCCTACTAACAACAATTCCCAGTTTACACTAAAAACTACCCCCTTCTTTTTACCTGAAGCTATCAACACGGAAGGCGTTATAACGGCTGGAAAAGGGACTGCCGGGTATTTGCGCACGTCTGGAGTCTGGACCGTGTGCCTTCTGTATTTGTACTAATTTTAGCTCAACTAAGCTTGTTGGTTTCTGCAGTGTCTGTTTGAACCAATTATCCAAGCAATTAGTATGCCAACAAGCAAGCAACCAAGGTAAACGCTTAAGGAGGGATGCAGTGTAATAGTGTTTAGTAATTTTTATGTAATACTGTTGAAAATGTTTTTACTAATTAGTTTTGCAGAGAAATATTGACTTGCATTTGTACCTTTTTCCCTAACAATCATGGTGGTGAATGGTGATGAGGGTTTGATCTCGTGTGGGGGGGGGGGGGGGGGGGGGGGGTGGGGGGTGGGGGGTTGTGGGGTGGGGGGTGTTGGGGGTGGGGGTGAAGGTGCTGACTCCATTTCTCTATACAAGCGATTGTCGACAGTAAATTAATTTAAACGACGGGAATGAGTATTTGAACTTGAATGCAAAGGAGGGAGCAGACTACTTCAGCCAACTTGACTAAGCTAAAGCTTACATATATTATTGGTTATTAGATTGAATAAATCAAAAGAGAATCAAAAGACAAAAAGTAAACATGGGTGTGCATAAGTGACAATATACACCCATATTTTTAACGTACTATGAGTCTCGTTTGATATGTCAGGCAATACTAACTATTTCAATCGGACATACTAATTCGTACATATGATAGTAATGACTAATTAATCGGCATACTAACTATATCATCAAACTTTTGATGATATCTCAGATTAAGAGGTCGAACTATAATTAAATTTTTAATTGCGTGTCGCGCGATATAGGATCAAATTAGTTTATCCGATTCTTATTTAATCAAACGACACCAAACATAGAATTCATACTAAATAGTATATCCGTATCTAATACGGTTTGTCAAACGAGACCCTATAATAGTATCTATCTATCCATCTTAAGCATGAGAGATTTTATAATGTGCGGAGAACAGTGAGACGTTGTTAGGAATAGATAGACAGCCGTAATGAAAGCGCTAGAAAAACCCTACACCTAGAACCCGCGAGGGTTTTGGTCCCTTTGGTTCTGCCGTCAGAAGCCAGAAATTGTTCATCTTCAACATCTAACATGGTACTGTTCTCCAATTTCAAGCACCTCAGGTTGGCTTCGTCACTATTTTCTTACACATTTGCATCCAAACCCAAAAGATTTGTCTCTGTCGATCCCAACCCCTCAAACTTTTCTCTTCCAAATCTGCTTTACAGACCGTTCACATCAAAAATCTCAGAAACCCAACACCATTTCACAGTCAATTACCTCATAAACTCATGTGGGTTGTCCCCAGAAGGTGCAGTTTCAGCATCCAAGATCTTCAAGTTGCGATCTCCAGAAAATGCAGACTCTGTTTTGGCCCTTCTGAGAAACCATGGACTCTCTGAGACCCAAATCTCGAAGGTTTTCAGGTCAGCCCCAAAAATTCTTCAACTAGATCCTCAGAAAATCCTTCTGCCCAAGATTGAGTTTTTCAGCTCTCTGGGAATTTCAAGGGAGGATCTTGCAAAAGCTCTGGCTCGTAAACCAAACCTCTTGGTAATGAGCTTGCGAAACCGGATTAGGCCCACTTATGATTTTCTCAGGAGTATGCTGCTTTCTGAGAAAAATGTTGTTACAGTAATCAAGCGCTCCTCGTGGATTTTTGTCGAAGGCCACCGCAAGCAATTGGTGCGGAATGTCGGGCTTTTGAGGGAACTAGGTATGCCCCAAACATGTATTGCTTTCTTGCTAACTCACTGCACTTCTGTTTTGATGCTAAATCCTGAAAAACTTGGTAAACTTGTGGGGGAAGTTAAGGAAATGGGAATCAATGTGAAAATACAACCTTCGCAAATGCACTAGATACATTGTGTGGTAACAATAAGTTGGTGTGGAATAGAAGTTGCGAAGCTTATAAGAAATGGGGTTGGTCTGAGGACGATGTTCTCTCTGCTTTTAAGCGGTGTCCCATCTTGTATGATTATGTCGGAGCAGAAGCTAATGCAAACGATGGATTTTTTAGTGAACAAGATGGGATGGTCGTCAGGAATGATTGCCAAGTACCCTGTGATCATGAACTTGAGTTTGGAGAGGAGACTTATCCCGAGGTGTTCGGTTGTTAAAGTTTTGTTGTTGAAAGGTTTGATAAATGAGAACTTCAATTTGGGTTCAGTGGTGATACCTGCGGAGAAGCAGTTCTTGGAGACGTTTGTGAACAGATATCTTGGCAAAGTACCTCAATTGTTGAACGTGTATCAAGGGAAGGTCGATATCCAGGATGCTTGATCGTGATATGTCGAATTTTTCCTTAAAGTAAGGTTTAGTTTGTATCCAACATCTTACTAAAATTATGCTAGAAGTAGATTCATTTTGGCCTAGCTTTTGGGTAGATTTATACGTGCTTTCTTCACTTTGGTTAGCCTTGGAAACTTGAAAGTTGATTTTGTGGAATGCACAGATTTCGGGCTTCCATTAGAGTTTGATATAATCTATTCACAAATCCCCTGCAGAATTTCTAATCTCGAGAGCAAGAGAGGTCATGGGTCAATTTTACTTAAATTGTTGTTCAATGTCTCAAGCCACGAGAAAAAAATTAGTCCCTGAAAACAATTTTGCTGATGTTATTGCAGGCACTTAATTATTGGTGATTTTTTCTGGAATATGTGGAGGAGAATAGACATTCAACGCCACATTTATTAGCGTGATTCTTCAATTCACCAAACAGACACTCACTTTCAGGACTGCCATAGTCCCTGCCTACATTTCACACCAAATGGACAGTACGGTGTCGAAGTTGTTATGGAAGATCAAGGTCCCTCCGAAGGTTACCAATTATACGTGGAAGGCCCTCTCATGTGCTCTTCCATACAAACCCAACTCCGATCATGTCACTTATTGGATGCTTGGTTTTTTAAGCTGATGAAGGACTTCAACCCTACAACATCTACGAAGATGCACTTTCAAGTCAACTTGGGGTGATTTTCTGGGAGATATGGAAAAGAGGAACCATGCGGTATTCAATGATTGTCGCACTAATACAGTGGGAGTGCTGGAGAAATGCCATAGCTCCCTATGTGAAATCTTTAGCATAAATTCATGGAGCTTTTTGTGCATGCGGAGACTGACCTGTTTTGGTTCGTTGGTCGGCCCCCCACGAGTCTTTTCACTAATATTAGTGCCGACAGTGCTTGGAATAAATCTTCTCTTGCGTCTGGGATTGTCATCATTATGCATAATTGTATGTGATCTCTTCTTGGTGGAGAAGTGGTAGCTCCTTCTCACTCCTCTGCCGAAGTAAAGGCGGAAGCTTTTCAGGGAGGGTCTAAAGTTGGCTGTGGATTCAAACTTAAGCCATGTCAATGGAGAAAGTGATTCCAAGACGATTATTGATTGCCTCAACGATGTGTAGCTTATGGAGGGTCATCATTGCAGAAATCAGGCAACTGTCCCTACATTCTTGAGTGTTCGCTGGAACAGGAACGCCCTTAAAGCTGCTGCAGTGGCGTATATGAGGGGTATCAACATCGTTGGCTTCGCAGCCCCCCTCGCTCTCTTGTGCTGGCTGGTAGTTTCTTTTAGGTAACCCCTGTTTCCATTTGTTAAATTCATCACCGGCAGTCCGATGTTCAGAATCTGAATACAATCCGAATTTGATAATCTGGTTAACGATAACTTAATATGTAATTTTATATTATTATATAAATTTGCTACTTGTGTGTAATAGTAATTTAAACTTAGTATTCATTCAAAACACACATGCATGTATACAGTAGAGTAATAAAATTTTGTTAGGTCTTGAATGAAATTCAATAACGAACTGGTCTAATTCGAATTCTTCGTTGCTTATTCGATATGATTCAACAAGTGAGATTCGATACTCCAAATACATTCGATATGATTCTACTCCGCCCCCTGCTCTTTGTGGTTGTATCAGTATCTTGCAGTTAGGGTTATGAATTGACTCTCACACCGGCCTAAGTTGAACTTGGCGTATAATCTTACGCAGATAGGCCGCCGTACATCACCAGTTATCGAGCCATCCATGGCCGGAATTCTTTTTCTTGTTCTTCGAGCATACCTCCGCACACACAATTACGGTCAAGGCTTTAGGACTCAGGCACCCGGTTTCACTGAGAGTTGCCATCAAGTTCCCACATCAGTGTACACAAAGGAATAACATGCTTTTTTTTTTTTGCAACCCACATTGGTGGGTGTGATCCATTATCTTCCTTTAATTCCTTGTTTTGTTCTTCATGTCGATAGGGGCTGGGGAACTTCAGTGCAGCGAGTTGTATGCAACAATGTCTCTTTCTCTTCGCGTGTCAACCAATCAATCATATGAGGAGATATAGAAATAATGTTGCATACGCTGCGGGCAAGTTTTTCTGCCACATTGGACATATGCACCGCATTGCATTCTGCTCACAGAAAGATTCACACTCATCGATCGCCACATCATGCAACATTCTAGCATCTATCTTGTCCCAACACTTTCATGGAATCAAAATGGCGTCTTGTTTACATTCTACTCTTTTTTTCTGGAGGTAATTACATGGAAGCTATCAACACTAACAAAGTTCTAACAGCCGGAAAAGGGACTGCCGGGTATTTGCTCACATCTCTACGGCGTGTGCCTTCTGTATTTATACTTAATTGTAGCAAAACTAAGGATGCAGCTGGGGGGGGGCTTTTCAAGCATCAAGGAGCAGCACACACGGGTTCTGCAATGTCTGTAAAACCAAATATTCAAATAATTACTATGCCAATAGTTAAGCACGAAAGGTAAACGCATAAGCTTCGTCGGAGAGTATTAAATTAATAGCGTTGATTGTAGTATAATCAGATCTTGCACAACAACAAATCGGACTTGCATATGAAGCTTCACTCTAATTTTAGCAAGACATAGCCAAAAAGTTTCGAGGTAGAAAGATAATGGTGTAAACCTGCCATAACTGTTGGCTTGGAATTGGGAGTTTCATCATCTAAGATCTTGGCATTCTAAAGTTCTATCTCTCAGTTCTAAATCGATTCGACATTCATGATACATGCAGGTTAGGTACGAAAGCAGGAACACGCAAGAAATAATCCGTAAACTCACGAAGAAAGTTTTAATCTTCCGGGACAGATTGGCCATACCTCTAAATAATCTTCAGCTGGTTGAGGTTGGACAGGCATTGTTTGATGGAGGAACAGTTGGAGTAGAAGCGGAGTCTGCATTTCTTTGGTTTGTATCACTTTCCAAATTCGGTTGTGAAATACACGGTAATGTGTTGTTCTCATCAACCCCATGATCATACAGCAATCCCCTGAATACATGGCCGCTTATTTTCACCGTCGCCTGATACGCTAACTCAGCTTCGCCGTTACTGATCGCGGTGACTCTGTGGCACCGGAAAACTGCAGGGGCACGAACCTTATCCGGCAACGAGCGTTTGACATTTGCATCTGCAAATCAACACAAAACCAATTTTGCCTTTGCCTCTCAGTTCAACAGAACAAAAGTTCAAACAATTTTAATCAATAATTTAAGAAAAAGAAAAGGAAAAAGCGGAGCTTGGCGAGTAGAACCTGTACTTGCATTCTGTGATGGCACAGAAACTCTTGGTCTTTTGGCAACAGAAGAAGATCCAGAAGAACCTGCAGGCAAACCATGTTTATGATTTAATTTCTAAATTTTTTAAAATAATTTTTTAGATTAAAAGAAGATTTATAATTTATTGTAATTTTTCCTAATCACTGAATACAAAATGTGATTTTTCAGAACCTTCTCCGCCGCCAACGCCAGGAACAGCAACTGTGACCATATTCTGACGCTCACGCCGCCTGGACGCCGGTACCCACGTGCTCTTCACGTGAGTAGAGCAGTGATAGCCGCGTCCTCTGCAGCAAGTCCTGCACCTCCTGTACTCACACCCCTTCTTTGCCCTGTTTCCGCAGTCCTTGCAAGCCTTCATATTGGAGCTCTTGCCACCACCGGCGCCGTCTCTGTCATTATTGCCATGACAGTCCACAACCTGTTCATGCTGCTGAGCGCCACCATGGTTTTGGTTTCCAAAGTTGAGCATGTCCTGCTTCGAAGAGTTGGGGTCTTGGTATTTCCTGAGTCCCCAGTAGTGGGAAGTGTCAGAGTTGCCCTCGGCTGTTGGTGCGTGTGGGGTGGCGGTGAGAAGAGGGAAGATTCCAAGGCCGACGCCGAGAGCGGCGGAGGAAGGCAGAGGGAGGGCTGTGTGGTGGTCGGAGGAAATGGGTTGATGTTGTTGGTGGTGCAAGGAAGTTGGAGTTGGGGCAATGAGGAGGATATCTCTGAGTCCCAACATGGTTTCATAGGATTTTGATTTGATTTCCAATGGGAGGGGGAGACGGAGAAATGGATGGAGCTTTCAAGACTCTGCTTCTGCAACAGGCTATGAACTCCCACTTCAAATAGTATGTCATTATGATTTTTATTGTTTTAAATAATAATGGATGTGTTAATTAATTTTTCTCAGGTTTACCAAAAAAAAAAAACACATCATTTTTTTATTGGGTTAAATCAGAAAGTGAGTATATAAAGTTCTTACTAGTAAATTTGGATCATGTCCGGACCTTAGTGTCTGAAGTTTAAGGACCAGAGAATCCGGGCCATTCATTTGTGTTAAGAGAGATCGAAGCCCTTGGTTTATGTGAAGTAAGTTAGCACAATGAGTTAATAAGGACTGTCGGATTCAATCTTAAGTTGTCTGGATTGCCTAATCTTTAGGCTTTGTACAGTGAGATCCGGAGAGGATCTTTGTCGCTCACTAATGAATAACTAAGTATTATTTATAGTATAATATTACTATGATTTTCTCCAAATAACTTAAGGATTTGAATTTGCAGAATTAGTGTGGTTAGATAATCTTAACTTAGGTCATTAAAAAAAACTGCTTATTTCCTAACCTGTAAAAGGTCATTCGTCATTAACGGCAAAACATAGTTTAACATATATATCAATAAATCATTTATATTCTCATAAAAAAAAATCGTATAATATATTTCAATCTGTGCTTTGTATGAGAAATAAAAATACTTTCCCATCTCAAAATCCTACTTTAATCTTGCATATAAATTAAATAGTTAGAAATAAAAGAATTATTGTGTGGTCTCCTAGAGTAGGAAGATACTAGGGGTGCGTTCATTGCAACTCGGGCTATTCTTAACTGAATTAGGTTTAAAAATTAAATTATATTAATTTAATAAAACGTTTGATACAATATCATACTAAAAACCTGAATAATTAACCAAATTAGCAAGCAAATAAAAGGGCAACCGGAAACAGTAGAAGGAAAGAGAAAGCTAATAAATGACATTAATTAATCCATATTTCTACTCTGCTTAGTTAGTTTTATGCAACCCAGATCCTTCTCATCTCTTAAAAAACAGAGTTAATCATCAAATAATCAGAATTGTTGAAATTTAATTTAACAATTACAATTATTATAACTTTTAAAAAAATTTCTATTTATAATCTTTTGATCAAATTTTAACAATTTAAATTATTTGATCTTTAGACTCTGCTTTTTAAGATCCGAAAAATATCTGGGTTTCAGTTTTAAGGTCAGCTGCAGCGCGTTTTGGTGGGGCTGTGCTGTTTCTGATGTAGTGCGCATTATGCGCAGCCCACACTCTGCAGTTACTACTGCCACCTATTTTCCTTTTCAACCTTTTTACATTTTACTTTTGAGTTTTGTTACAATAATATTCTATCTCCTAATAATACGAGTTATTTTCTTTAAATCCAAGTGTTGCATTTTACTTTTGAGTTTTGTTACAATAATATTCTATCTCCTAATACGAGTTATTTTCTTTAAATCCAAGTGTTGCCAAGATTTATTAGAAAATTAATCTTTTAAGTTCGGCATGAATTGCCATCTACGTTATCGCTATTATCTCAACTTAACAACTTATTATTATATTTTGGATTTTACATTAAAATGCTTTGCAATTTTTTTTGGTTGAACAAATGATATTTTCTTCATTAAGGAGTAGGATATTAGACTAAACCTCACAATAAACTAGCAATAATATGGTCTCAATTTGCATTTGACGATAATCGAATATAAGACATTTCACTTGTAAGTGAAGATGAATATCATTATACTGTAGTGTTAAGTGGTCAATGATATAAAATGAAACATCATATATAAGTTGAATTATTATTATGTCAAATTTTGGACATTGCTATTTCATTTTTATTTCCTACATACTCTATTAATTTTTGTCATATAATCTTCTTTAACTCATTTGTGTGTACAAATTAAAAATATGTGTGGATAAATATCATCCTATATTTTCAATGTATTACTTTATTTTCAAATCCTTTTGGAAAAAAAAATTGCTTACTTTTATGTGTAAAATAGCTATTTTTATTATTTTATAGGAGGAGGCTGAGTGGGTTAGGCAGTAGGGGTGTGGACCGACCTATCCTAGCCTACATAGGTGAAGTTAGATTTGTAGGGGTCTATGCACTAGGGTGGTAGGTAGCTTAGGCAGAGATTGACACTTTGGCTAGGTTGATAATGATGGGCTATAATAAAAGCAATTTTTCTTTTCATTTTTGGTAAAATTATTTGATGGCTTGGTGGTGCATTATAAGACTGTTTGTCTTAATATAAACCGGTAATTATTGTGCAATATTTGGCTATTTAAGAATAAGTAAGAATTCTTACCCAAAATTTTGTATTTGAATCATAGAACTTTGGCTCTTTAAGAATGGTGGTGCATTTATGAGTTCTTATTTTTACCATTTTATCTTCTAAGCTAGGCATTATGAACAATGTTTGGCTATTTAAGAATGAGTAAGAACTCTTACTCAAAATTTTGTATTCGAATCATAGAATTTTATACTTATAATTATAATCGTTGATATTAGGAATCACTTTATATGGATCACTTTGCATAGACAAAAATGAATTAAAACTAAGATCATTTAGTCAATTTATTGAAGAACATATATAGACGGTTTGTAATGCTTTTATTAATTCTGTTCATCTGTTTTTACACAGGTCGATAACTAAACGATCTTGATTTTAATTGATTTTGCAGAGACGATCTTTTTTAAGGAATTTATAATATAATATAAACGATTATGATCACAAACACGAAGTTCTATGAATCAACAACGAATAATTTTAAGTAGGAACTCTATACAGTCCTACTCATTATTTGAGTAGCCAAATATTATTCTTTATCTTCCATCATCCACTAAGTATTCTCCAAATTCTTATTTCACAAACCAAACATTTTCTTTCTTTTTTTTTTTTCCTTAAATGTTAGATAGGTAGGCCTTTTCAGAGTGTGACGCAAAATTAAGTTCGGTGTAAAGTGAATTGAAAATTTTGAGTTCTATAAGAGTAATTATAATTATTAAGTCCAACTGAACTCATGAGTTCAAATCCAGCTCAATCAATGAGAAATAGATTAGCCAATAATGGAGTAGATATAAGTTTTCTATATGAATTTGAACCACCTTGGGTCGAATAAATTGGCTATTCTAACAACGTTTTTATTTTCTTTCTCTAAAAAAAGTTGGTCATTTATTGTATTCAAAATACGGAATCATTATTGGCACTGTAAAATCTTATTCTTGCACTCTAAACTTTATATAATTAAAATAAAAATACACTGATGAGGAGTGCATAATGAAAATTTTAAGTGCTAATACCAGTTTTCTAAAAATAAACCATGAGTATAAATTTTGCAATAGAATAACCAATACATTAAACTCAATTACACGAGGTGAAGATATCGCATATTTCATGTTTGTGTAGTGCAGTGGCTCATCGGTTAGCGAAGTTTACTTTATCTTGTTGTTCTTATGTAGTTTGGATGGAGGATCCCCCAACTTAATTCATGATGTCCGCCTCCAAGATCTTGACTGTAATCTTGATTGTTTTCAATAGATTATTGTCTCAATTAGAAAAATATATTAAATTTATAGCTCGTTTAGAAAATGTTTTTAATGATGGAAACACTTTTAAAAAAGATATTTTTAAAATCAATATTTGATAAAAATGCAAGTTAATTATGGAAAAATACTTGAAGTATTTTTTAAACTCAAAAATATTTTACCTAAAAATATTTTTAGTTATTGAAAGGAACTTTTCAAACGAGCTCTCAATGTGCCTAGTTCTTATATGTAAAAATCAGACTCACACAAATCATTGTAGGAGGCCTTGAAATGGAACAATGATTATTTAGTTAAGCTTTAATAATAACTATCGGCCGCGTGATTTATTCAAATGGTTTTCTCACTTTTAGGTCATTATGCACAATCTCTATTATGCTTGATAGCATAAATAATCCCACACAAAAGCCTTTTTATTTTATTTTTTAAACAGGACCATCTGTTGACTTTGCCATGAAGCCGACTATTTCGAAGGCTGGAAAGACACAAAGACATTTCAGTCACGAAAAAAGCAATGTTATGACGTGGTAGATTTACACAAAACTGATGAGACATTAAAACACACAGCTTTTTTGTAAAAAATTGGATTGTTGAGTTTTTTTTAAGACCTTTTGCTTGTGGAAGAAGAAAAAAGCTATAATTTGGAACTGGATTAATTATTTAAGTTGATAAGACAAAATTCTATTTAAAAAAAAAAAACTAACAGGCTACAAAAATGTACAAAAAATATATATAATTTAAGAGAAATTAGATTTTCGTTGACATACCCCGACCGAGATCAGGGCATGATGGCCGTCACGTGGAAGTGATGTAGCCATGTGCACAGTGCGGAAGCTAAAAGAAGTAATATAAAAGTACGAATAATTTAAAAACTAGCAAACACAATGTGATAAGATAAGTGCTAGCGTAAGTGAGACACTGAATTCAGAGCATAAAGACTACAGCAGTCCAAAGAAAATGATACGACAATAGTACACCCGAAGGTGACCCTACACTGGTGAGTGTCTGTCAGAAATGCCGAGGCGCCCTCTTGGAAAACCACCGAACCCGCTAAGCTACTAGAACCTGGAGGAGCGCAAAACAAAAGCGTGAGTAGGCAAAAACAAAGCTCTTTGAAAACCATTTAGTAAAATACATTCTAACCCATCGCCGTAAAACCTGTATACTTCCCAGAAAATGAACATATATACGTATGTATAAATATGCCAATCATGCTCAAGGGTATGCCAATCTTAAAGCCTCATAATAATATGCAAGTGCTCAGGTATAAATCACATCAATAACATATCACTGGCAGCCGGAGTCACCTAAAGTGACCTGTACGGCTGAATCTAGAGCTCAAATCTCAATCTCAATAACTAAACCTGCCCACGAGTCGGAACCACCTATAGTGGTCTGTACGACAAGCCTGGGTGTAATACATATAAACGCTCTAGTGCTACGATCACGTGAAGGCTGTGCGAATAATCGCGGGTCACCTACGAGTCGGAACCACCTATAGTGGTCTGTACGACAGGACTGTGCACCTAACTTGGATCCAAGCTGAGCGTATGGTGCGAGAGGTGAACGACACGTGAAGGACTGTGCCCTACTTTAGGCGGGAGCACTAACACCAGGGGTGCAAGTTATGAGCTCTCTAAGCACCTCTAATCACTATTTAATGCAAAGGTTAAATAACGCTTACCTGCGCCTCCACAGCACCAAATATAAATATGTATATGTATGCCACTACTAATGCATATGATAATGCATAAACAATAAGGATATGGTGCATGGCATAAAACAAATAACCCTTTTTAAACAATTTCTGGGAATATAAATGTATATAGGTAAATACGGAAAACCAAAAGCCCACTCACTGGTATGTGGAAGGGTCGTAGCCCCCCTGTCTCGAGTGCGCACGCTCGTCCTCGGGATAGGAATCACCTATATGCGAAATAACTATAAAAACATTAATTATAAAGCACATAACCTTCCTTTCGTAATAACTTCTCATACATTGCTCAAAATGGACAAATGAATATACCAACGTGCTCTACACAACCTCAGGAACACACCCATATTTTTAGAAAAATTTTCCACCGCCGCACGCGCCACCACGCGCCGGCCACGCGCAGGCACGTGCGGAGTGCGGTGCACACGGACGGCGTCAACTGACGCCGTTAGGAATATTCCGTCAGTTTTGACAGATTCCGTTAACGGCGTCAGGAATATATTTATATTTATGGTTAAACTTTGTGTCATATATTTCTATTTTTAGTTTGTACCATTTTTAATTGGCAACCCTTTTTTATTTGTACTAATTTTCTTTTTAGTTTTAATTTGTATCCATATATTAAATTTATTTTGTGCCCATATGTTTATAATTTTTATTTATACTCATAATTTATTTATAATGTACCCATTTTTCTTCATAAATGTACCACTTTGTTATATGTGAAATGTACCTTTTTTTTTTTTTTTGTAAATGTCCCTTTTTTCTTTTGCAAATGTACCATTTTTTTAAAATGTAAAATGTACCTATTTTTTAATGTGAAATCTATTTATTTATTTTATTTATTTTATTTATAATGTATACATATTTTATAATAAAATGTAACCTTTTTCAATTTTTTTGAACACTATAGGTACATTCGTTTGACATTTATTATTTCAAAGTTATATTGTTAACTGTTTTTATTTATTTATTCAATCAAATTTTTTGAGTATTTTCTTTTTATTGTAATCGTTTTAAATTTATATGGGATTTTAAATCCTATAACATGTTAAGTAATTAATACCAAACATATGAAAATACATATTACTAGCAATAATGAGGTGCGTGAAATGAAAGGATGAATACCATTAAGATTTTTGTCAAAAAATATTAATGGTTAATGATCGAATTTAAAGTATCCTTTTAATTTATAAAAATATTAAAAAAATTGAAAAAAAAAAAATGAAAAACCCAAAACGTATTTGCGCAAGTAACTCCAATTACTAGGACCCTAAAGTGCAAACAACAAATCCAACTTTCAAGTATCAATCATGTCAAATGTCCCACCGAGCTACTCTTGGACATTCTTTTGCCAACAGGAACCTCTTCGGATACTTTTGGCGACGATCTTGTAGATTCGTAAATTATGTTCGTTTACCGTACATTATGTGATTAGTTTTTGTCAGGTATTGTTTGTGTTTAATTTTAAATAAAAATATTTAAAATAATTTCTAACTGCATGATATACGATGAATAAGTAAGATTCACGAATTTTCAAAATCCTTATAAAAAGAATCCGACAAGGATTCAAATTCATTCTTTTGCACATTCCGTATCCCAAGGATTTTATACCATGCATGTGTGTTTAGCAATCATAGTACACACAATACACAAATTTTTCTTTCTTTTTTAGCAACAACCGTAACAAATGTGATAGAAAGCATGATAAATCACAACATAAGCCCATGGGTTTTTTAGTTTTTGATACCCCGCCATTACGAATGAGAAACAAAAGCGGTCCAAAGTCACACCAAAATTTTACCGTTTTTCCTCGCCAAGCGCCCAATTTTTTCTTATCATTTTCTTCGGCACCCAACCAAATTGAGCAGGGGATTGGACCCAATAATTTAAACTCGGGCCAACCCATCGACAACACTTGCACGATAGCGTTGTGCAATATGCAACATTTTAGACCTGGCATATATCACATATAGATGAAGAGACATCAAAACGTTTTTTAAGGACAAGTACGATATTCATTAGTATGAAAACTATGTGTACATATCAGAGGATAGGGTGCATATCAATGGGCCTCAATAAAAACCTTGCCAATAATTTCAACCCGTCGAAGGAAAAAAGAGCATCTCGCACGGTCGCACCAATCAAATTACACAGTTGTGCTATCCTAAAAAAATAAGATCTGAAATTACACTTGGAGGTTTCCCAAAGCAAATATGTTGATGATCTAATGTCAATCCCAATTTTGCCAATCTATGAGCCACTTTGTTTGCCTCCCTTCAAGAATAAGAAAGCTTCGTGTGGGGATAGAACACATAAAAAAGCGGGCATCTTTCACAACGTGCCCCACTGAAGAAGGATCATCAGCCTCCTCCTGTTTGAGCACCGCGACCACTAGCTGCACATCACCTTCGAATTCCACATATGTAGCAATGGGCCTCTTGCTCCTCGCCCGTTCTTGCCTGCAAGCTAAGCAAACAATTAATGCATCAACAACCAGTTCCAGAATGGATGGCCATAAGGCTCTATTCTAACAGCCTCACATATGTCCTTAAAAGTGCCTCACAATCAGTCAAATAGCGCCTTACTAGCTCCGCTGTCGTACAATTTGCCGGTTGACTATTCCAACCATCCAATATTCCGGCCTTCCAATCTATTGATGATCTAGTCTATGTTGAGCAGCCTTAACAGATGCAAACTGAAAACCACTGGAAAAACAGAAAGGATCCTCACATATATGCATTTAACTTAGATTAGTTTTAAGTAGAAACTACATTCATTTGGGACAAAGTACCTGTCTTCATACTGCCCTTGAGAACAAATTCCCTGCTTGATCATGCTGAAATGGCCAGGAATGTGTCCTTCAAACTTCTTAAAATCTGTAGATACAGTAAATATTAGACCATACATAGCTAAGAATAAAGGCTTGGACACATGTCCGCAGACCTTATCCAAAATTAACTAAATATGTATGTATATACAATTACATAAATACATGCAGCATACATATAATCGATAATCTATACTTCTACTCACTCTGAATGCAAAATCCATGCTTACAACTTCTCAATCGAAATCTAACGGATGACATCTACATCCTAGCAGAGAGAACGTTTCTTTTTTGGAAAATTATCCGTTATTGGATGAAGGCTGGCGAACAAAAACTTTTGTACTCATTGGTGAAATGCAAATCATGATTAGAAGGACCAGTAAATATGTACCAACTTACAGGCAGGTTCATAATATTCTGACTATATATATATAATAAGTTATGTTCAAAATACGAGGACCTGTAAATAATCTTGAATGTAACATAGATTGCATTGCCATGACCAAAGATAAATTAGACAAAATGCTGAATTACAATAATCAATTAACAATATACTACGGGCAATATGATTGTCTTAAAAGGAATGTTGGGATGAGGGATTTGAAAGTGCCAAGGGCTTTAGGCTAAATTAGTTCAAATTCACTACAAAATATTAGATGGAAGGATATGAAAGACTAGATGCAATGCATCAAGAAGGATTTGTAAATGACCGCTTGAATGGAGACATTTAAAAATACTTTGTTTAGGTGTGTACTGATCATGTAGTGCATTTCAAATATCTATGTCTACTGCTTTGTAGATGAAGTCCCTCATCCAAACAGAGAGTGAGAGAACTAGGAGTTTTAGCATACACAAGTCACAAGTCATGCGTTATCTGTCGACGTGATAACAAAAGTCCCTCACCTCCACTATAAGGGTTTGTGACATCATTATGTGTGCATTATCAGATTCCTTGCTTTTCTATTTATGATAACCTCTGGGAAGACTATGAAGACCCTGACTATATGAGCACAAGCATTGCAGGTGATCCGGAACGATGTGTCAAAACCTGTTTGCAACGTCTATATTAAACTCCTGAAAACAATGGTCGTATTGTAGGGTCCTCACAGAATAACCTTGATATAACAAACAAAAGTAAGGCAGACTTCCATACCGAGTAGAGATATAGAGTTCATGGTTCAGAGCAATGCCTTGAATTGGTCCTTCGGAAACCCTGAAATAAAATTAAAAAAGGAATCTTGTGACTTAATGCTCTTTTCTTAATTGATTAACACATTCACTATTTCAGCCAATCAGAGTGTTAGCCAGTCAGAACCTTGATCCTGAGTTCCAAATGCAGAATATCAAAGCCCTTCATAAGAATTAGAAAAAAAAGTGAAGAATTCAGAGAGTTTGAGCTTCACTGGTTTTCTCCAACTCCCGTTAATTCCACACCAAAATGGGAAATCTTGTTTGCAAACCAAGATGTTAAACATAATTCCACTGTTTTCTCTCTGCATCAATGAAGCAAAAATACGTTAGACCCATCATGTTGTCCTGACTGATAGCATATTAAAAATCAAATAAAAAATAGAATGCAATACATAAGTGTAATGGATTTCTGTAAATACATGTGACATATTGACAAAACTCTCAGTTAATTATCTCCTCATTAACAAGGCCATAATTTTGCCAGGGTCATACATCCATGTGAATACGACAACCTGAGTACAAACGATTTAATTATTTTTGCACCCCAAATACCACATATCCTGTGATTTCATCCAAAAACAGTTTAGAATATTCATATAAAGAACTTAGTTATGAACAGAGGAGATCCATATGATTTTACAATGAAGTCACAAATTTGACAAAATAATTCATCAATTTACAAAAAAAAAGTAAACATGTTACCACTGCAGCACTTGAAAGTTAAAAGTATCACAAGCAGACAATAGATGCCTTACTAGCTCCGCTGTCGTACACATTTTGCTGGTTGATTCTTCCAACCATCCAATATTCCGACCTTCCAATCTATTAATGATCTGGTCGACTCAACTAGTATATAAAAGCCTAGCATTAAATATGAAAATGCAGGATGTGGCAGGACATTTCCAGGATGAAAACAATGGATAACTGGCAAAACATTTCCAGGATGAAGTTCACTTAAAATCCTGTTTTTCACAGTTTGCATGAAACTCCTAGTGATTAGGGTTTGTACTGCTATCTGTAATAATGTACATGATCTCATAACCATGGTTCAGAGTTTTACCAAGAAAATTTCTAACATACGACGACCTGCTCCAACCATCCTCCATCAAAATTAGGTGAAAGTGTACCATCAATTTCTCTGCAGCATGTTTCACCCAAACAGTTAATGAATCAGTCGCTCGCCTCCTTAGTGGACGATCCAGAAGAATCCAAATAAAGGTGCTTTAAAGATTTACCATCAAAGTTGCACGTCATCATACATATAGAAATTTCAAATTAGAAAACATACCTTTTTGTCCTACTACAACTTTAGATATTCACATGATTGCTCATAAAATCCACAATGGTAGAGAAGAGTGTTCCTTTGGATCAGCTTCAAGGAGAACAAGATGTTCACAAGCTGTGACAAAGTAACCATTAGCAGATGCAAGCTGAAAGCCACTAGAAAAATACCAAGTATCCTTATATATATGCACATATCTTAGATTAGTTTATGTCGAAAGTACATTCATTTCGGACAAAGTACCTGTCAATTGATCTATCAATAAAGTTAGCAGCATGTGCTGCCCTTCAAGAACAAATTTCCTGGTTGATCCTGCTGAAATGGCCAGAATAAGTTACTTTTAAAATACGAGGACCTGTAAATAATCTTGAATGTAACATAGATCTATCAATTAAATGGCAAAAGAATACCTAAGTTACAACACTAATCAATTAACAATATACCACAGGCAATATGATAATGTAAAGTTTGGATGAGAGATTTGAAAGTGTCAAGGGCTCAAGGCTAAATTAGTTGGAGGGATATGAAAGACTAGATGCAATGCATCGAGAGGGATTTGTAAATGACTGCTTGAAAGGAGACATTTATAAATACTTTGTTTATGTGTGTAATGATCATGTAGTGCATTTTAAATGTCTATCTCTAATGTTTTGTAGTTGATTTCTAACAAATTTATCCTAAATTGCTTGGTACTATCAAATCCTTCATCCAAACACAGGGTGACAGGACTAGGAGTTTCAGCATACACAACTCACTGACATAGGACAATACAAATTAAGGCAAAACAAACAGATGTCAAAATCCAAAATGCCTTACTTCTTTGAGTCATTATGTGTGCATTATGCCATTATTAGACTCCTTGCTTTTTTTGTTTATGAAACCTCTAGGAAGACTATGAAGATCATGAGGAAAGAATATCTCTGCAAAGAAATCCAAAAAGCCCCATAAGTGAAGCATTTCAAAATTTCTGAGAATACGAGCACAAGCATTGCAGGTGATCCTGAACCATGTGTCAAAACCTGTTTGCGAAGTCTACATTAAACTCCTAAAAACAATGCCGGTATTGTAGGATTCTCATAGAACAACCTTGAAATAACAAAGAAGTATGGCAGACTTCCAGAACGAGCGGAGACATGGAGCTCATGGTTCAGATTGATGCCTTGCATTGGTCCTTTGGAAACCCTGAAATAAAATTAGAAAAGGAATCTTGTGACCTAATGCTCTTTCTTAATTTATTCATATTTGTCCAGCCAATCAAAGTGGTAAAAAGTTAGAAACCTTGATTCTAAGTTCCAAATGTAGAATATCAAAGCTCATAAGAATTAGAAGCAATGAGAAGATTTCAGAGAGTTTTACCTTCACCGGTTTTCTCCAACTCCCATTATTTCCACGTCAAATGGGGAAAAATCGTCTTTAAACCTTTCTTCTCATCGTTATCAAACGTCGATGTCAACTCGAGCTCAACCCTTTTCCATACCTCATCTAGAAAAAATGGTCCTGATTCAAAGATGAAGAAATAATGATTTATAGTGATCTTAATTACTTGTGCAAGTTTGACAATCTGGACCTTTTCCTTTTATTACGATTAACGAATATAATCCATCAATAATGATCATGAAACAAGAAAAGAAAAGGAAACGTAAGATACACTCCAGTATTCAACAACTTACGATGGAATCTGTAAGAATGCAGCAGCCAGCCAAATTCACACGTTGTTTTTGTGAAGAAACATATCGGCACCTATGTAAAGATGACAGATGCAATGAAAGATGAGTAAGCATTCCACCGTATTCAAACCACAACAGTAAGAGGAAAAACAACATCATCAAGAAGTTACCTCGTCCTGTGCAGAAGAATCATATTGGTGTCATAGCTAACATAAGCACCCAATAACTTAATTGGTAATTGTACGCAGTAATTTATGCAAGCAAACACTTGTTGCTCTTGGATGATATTGTCCTGAAATTTAATTGATTGGTGAATTAAACACAGTACATCTGACAGTAAACAATTGAAGTGAAACTTTTATAGAATCTGAATCTCGTATGTACGTACCTGACTTTGATTTGAAATCTCAAATGATGACTTGGTTGTCTATCTGGATGCAAGGAATGTGAGCTATCTTGCTCCACTCTTCTCCCGTCTTCTCCTGACACCTCTTCTCCAGAGAAGAAGAGTAGTTGATTCTCAGAAGACGGAGCGATGCCTGGCAAACCCTCTTTTGGCAGGGATTCGAGACTCTTACAGCTTCTAATTTCCAGCTGTTGAAGAGAAGTGAGGTGTTGAAGTCCCCTTCCCTCCAAAGATTTCAGACTTTTCATTCCATAGATTTCGAGAGTGTGAAGAGTGGTAGGGAGCAGCTGTTCCTTGAGCACCGTCTCCAACACATCCTCGCTTCTCCAGATCTTAAATGTTCGAAGGGAGACAAGTCGTTGCAAACCCCAGTACTCCACTGAAGGCCTCAGTTTCTCACAACCACTGATTCGAAATGATTGTAGGTTGGGAGGCAAACCTCCTTCTGCAAATGACTCAACATTTGGAAGACCAGATATCTGCAAATCTCTAAGGGCGGTGAGTGTGTGTATTCGATCGGGCAATAACTTCAAATTCTTGCATCTACTGACTTCTAAACAAGCCAGGGTGGGAGTGGGCAATCCCCCGTGGGGAAAAGAGACCAGATTTCGACAATTATAGATACCGAGATTCTCGAGATGAGTGAGATTTTCAACATCAGCTCCTTCTCCAATGGAAAGGGATTCTAGATTTTTACTGCCGTCGAGGTAAAGAGATGAAAGTTTGCGGAAAACGCCCAGCGGGAAGGACCTGAGCGAATCACAGCTATTAAATAAACTGAAATGTTGAAGGGATGTCAATTTGGCCATCATCTCATGAGATAGGAATTCTAATCTCCTGCAATAAACTATCTCAAGTGATTTCAACGAAGTGGGTAGACCATTTCTAGGGAACGACAAGAGGGACCCGCAATTATGGAGAGTCAACTTTTGAAGACAACTGCTCAAGTGCGGCTGCAAGCAATCTGTGCGACTGAAATTTTGAATCCTTAGTGTGGAAAGCGAGGACAGCGACTCCGTCTCCAGTAACGACGAGAGACCAGGGCATCCTCTTATTTCTAGATACTGAAGAGATTGTCGCAAGGATTCCGTGTTAACAATGAGAGACCAGGGTATCCATCTACTTCTAGTAGCCCTTTCATGCAGAACCCCGCAGTCGGACACTTGAAGTTTTTTCAAGCAAGGAAGATAATCCGGCAAGTTTCCCCTCAGCTTCGGACAACTCTCTAAAACCAGCTCCTCGAGACAAGGAAAGTCTGGACATTGACCTCTACCTGGACTTGGCAGCCATTCTTCCCACTCTGGCATCTCTCTAAACTCCAGCCTCTCTAAAGAACGAAATGGCTGAATTAAAGAAGTTCCATTGACACCATAAAACTCAGCACCAATACTCATAACAAATTTCATCTTCTCTATATAGAGCTCCTTAAGAGCAGGCAACTGCCCAACTGGTGGCAACGACCAACAACTACTAAACCCACTGAGGCGCATGACTTTTATGTTGGAGAAGGAAGAGTCTCCCAACCAATTCGGAAAGCTTGTTCCACCATAACATCTGATGGTCAGTTTCGCCAAATTTACAGAAGGTTGTAATCTTTCAAGTACATTTCTCTCTTTTATGGAATCATCGGCATCCTTCCTACCCCACACCAACTCTATTTCATTGAAATCTTTCTTATCCTTCAAATTGGCCCGCAAGGCATCCATAGCATCGACTACATTCTCTAGATTCAAGATAGAAAGTTCCCCTCCAAGATTGGGTAACTCCCCCAATTCTTCAATGCCACCGGACCTCGTAGATGTCCCCAACACATAAGCAGTGAGTGTTCTCAAACTTTTAAGTCTACCCATTTGCACCGGCATCTCCCTTATACGAGTTTTTCTAATATCAAGGTGGCGCAATTTAATCAGTTTCCTCATGTCTACAGGCAATTCAACAAGAGAGGAACAACCTACCAACAATAGAGTTTGCAAATTGTAGAGACAACTCACGGTATCCGGTAACCTTTTAATTGCAGTGTAAGAGAGGTCAATGTAGCGCAAATGTATGTGGTCCCCGATGCAATCAGGTAAGTGACTGATGTTTTCATATCTTGCCAAAGACAGTGCCCGTGAACATTTTAGTGTTGGCAACAAATCACTTGGAACCTTACTACTTACATATTCCCAATTTGACTTTCTTAAAGACATGGGTAAGAAGGTGCGCAGATATTCAACTCCATTTAATGGCTGAAACTTTTTAGCGGCATCAAATTTTCCTTTCAAATATGACAAATGTCGTACTCTTTTAGGAACTTCATGTGATCCTTCCTCATCCATCCTAAAACAAATTTCTCTAGACACGAACACTAGCCAAGTCATTAATGAGATCATGCATTGTGAACCCATGCTCCTCAGTTCTTGATCTTTGAATTAGTGATCTTGATACTAATTCATTAAAATAGTTCTCCCCAACCTCCTCCATTCTTTCCTCACCCTCAGCTTGTGAAATTAAACCCACAGCCATCCAAAGTCGAACTAAATTATGTTTCTCAAATTCATGGTCCTTTGGAAAAATTGAGCAATAAGCAAAACATTGTTTTAAATAAGTAGGGAGGTAATGGAAACTCAATCTTAGAGATGGAAGAATACTATTTGCTTGTGGTAGCTCCCAAAGATTGCTATTCAATATATGATTCCAATTCTTGTAGTCCATGTTGCAACTTAAGAGACCTCCAAGTGCTTTTGCAGCTAAAGGCAGACCTTTGCACTTACGTGCAATTTTTTTACCAATTTCTTCCAAGTCTGAATGTGCACTTGCATTTTCATTTCTAAACGCATGTTTTGCAAGTAACAACCAACAATCATCAGGCGACAATTGTTTTAAAGAGTGAATAGGAACAGTGTGCACGATGGATGCAACACTTTCGTTCCTTGTTGTCACAATGACCTTACTTCCCCTCGCCCCATAAGTGAAAGGAGCTTGTAGAGCACTCCAATCATTATAATTGTCATTCCAAAGGTCATCCAACACAAATAGAAACCTTTTCCCCATTACTTGTTCCCTAAGAGCAACTTGAAGCAAGCTCATATCTGACGTATCACAGGGTTTTGAAGCAATTGACTGAACAAGGGTTTTAGTGACCCTAATAGCATCAAAATCTTCGGAGACACATGCCCAAGCTCGAACATCAAAATGCTCTTTCACCATGGCATTATTGTAAAGGAGCTGAGCAAGGGTTGTCTTACCAACTCCTCCCATTCCCACTATGGGGATTACAGATGCATTGCCGCCCCTTGCATCATCAGATAGCAACAGTTTTTTCAATTTCGCTTCATCTTCATCCCTACCATAAGTAGAGAATTTATGCTCAACGAAGGAAGTTGTGGGAGTTCTTTGTGAAACCTTGCCCCCAACACCTCCTCTAAGACCGAGCACAATTTTCTGTTGTGCAAGGTGTTCTAGTCTTTGGAGTAACTCTTCAATCCTACCATTCATGCCTTGATAAAAAGGATTAAGAGAAGTAGAGAGGAAGTTCCACACCTGGGTTTTCTTAGTTGAAAATTCAGCTTCCACCTTGCTTCGCAAAACTTCAGTATCGATCTCGTCCAGCAGGTCCTCGGCATTGAAGACAGCATGTTTAAGCTCGTCAAGCCACTTTCCCACACGGGGTTTCTCAATCTGCTGCTCCTCTGCATCATCAAGCACTGCATCAAGGGCCAGAAACGTCAGCTTCAGTTTCTCCAGAAGTGAATGATCAAGTTTTTTTCCCCGGAAGAAGTCCATCAACTCCCCAGAACCGATCTTGTCGCACAACGTCTGAATGGAAGCAGACAGAAATGCCTCTCCAATCAAAGCTCCTGCCATCTCTCCTGTTTTTTTTTTTTTTCTTTTGGAACAAAGAATAAATTTCAAAGTAGTGTTAACGTGAGGAACTATAAGAGCCTTTTATGGTTTATTTTAAGCTCAATTTTGTTTCAGAAAGAGATGTCCTGATTTATTTCCCCACACCTAATTTTACTTTTCACACATCTTTTTAATTTTCAGAAGTCGGATCAAATAAATTAAAGAAAATCGACGGATAAAAATTATTAAAGATGTATAAGAACTAAAATAAGGTGTGTGAATAGCACACCCTTTTATTTTAGGTCAATAATACAGTGGGCCTCACACTTTAATCATAGTCATATATAACTACATAATTGTTTTATTAATCATAATTTCTTATATAATTTAACAGGTTGTTTTGCTTTGTTTTGGGAAAGGTGGTTTCTTAGTAGTGGGTGTGGAAATTCTGGGTTGGGTGACTTCTGTTTTATTCTTCTTGTTTGTGTTTTTGAGATTCCAAATATGAAATATTTGAAGATGTCAAACTCTTTTGTGTATTACTTTGTGGAGAATTTGGTACTTCACTGAGTAACAAATTTTTACTAGCTAATGCTTGGAAGGTTAAATTTACAAACAAAAATTTCAAAAACTAAATAACATGAAAGTTAATGATTTAATTATTACTTAAGTATTGATAAACATGCTTATTTTTACTAGTAACATATCATTTAATTTACAAATTTTGTTTATAAATTTAGTCTCTCTAGCGTCAATTTTTTTTTTTACTGCTGCTTCTTTAGAAACTGCAATGTTTTCGTATGGACTTCTTTTTCTGGCTCGCATAGGTTCAGCAATCAAGGCTGCTGGGACAATCATCACTCGACCCGTGTTGATTTCTTTGAATTTACAGTGGCAAGACCTAACTAATGGCTCTTTATGCATAAGATGGATTGTTTAGCACTCATAGCCTCGCCATATGTATTATGTCATGGGGTGTGATCCACACGTCCGATCACACCTCATTTTACTTTTCACATATTTTTTTAATTTTCGGCCGTCAGATCGGATGAATTGAAAAAGATCAACGAATAGAAATTATCAAGAAGTATGTGAGAAGTAAAATGAAATGTGTAGATAGCACACCCCTTATGTCATGTGAGTGTGTATGCATGCATTTGCATTTTTCTCTCCTTTAGAACCATTAAACAGTTTATGATGGCAAGTGTCTCTGTAATCTAAAACAAAAAACTCGGTTCGTAATCATATACTCAATCCATTATGTCTTCTAACTACTTGAGCTCAAAATTAATAGTCAATTTATGTGCCCTTGGATGTTGATTCAGTTTTGAGTCTATACTTGAAGTCACGTTCGTGTATGATTTTTAATTTAATTGGATTTGTACTATTGCCACCTATTTTCCTTTTCAATTTTTTTATATTTTTTTTATAGGTTCAACATGGAACCGTAACAGCATCATCGATTATTATCTCAACTTAATTACTTATTATCAAATATTAAATTTTATCACAAAAATGTTTCGTTGATGTTAAAAGTGAAACATCTCATATATAAGTTGAACAAATTTTACATTGTATCTTTGTTATAAGAATTTGTTTTCCAACGCATTTGAAACTTTGTTTACTTTTAGGTGTAAAATAGCTATTTTTGTTGAATTAAAATTTTCTCACTTCCTCTTTCCATCTTCTTACATCATCTCTTCTCACATTCTCTATTTTATCTTTATCTTTTTATAAAAAAATTAATATAAAATGTTAACGTGACTTAATCGTGATCGTTCAAATAAAAAAATAATAAAAATAAAAAAATAAAAAATAAAAAATAAAAAAAATAAAATCCTACTCCATTTTTGTTACTTTATGATTGCAGAGGAGGCTGAGTAGGTTGGGCAGATAGGGGTGTGGACCGACCAATCCTAGCCTATAATATAGGTCAAGTGTACATTTGTAGGGCTCTAGGCATTGGGTGATGGGTAGCTTAGGCAGAGATTGACCGTTCGGCAGGGTTGAAAATGATGGGCTATAATAAAAGCAATTTTTCTTTTCATTTTTGGTAAAATTTATCAGTGGCTTGGTGGTGCATTACAAGAGTGGTTGTCTTAATAAAATGGGGTAATTATGGCGCAATGAGTTTTGCTTTATGAGTTTTTTTTTTTTTTATCATTTTTTTTTTCATGCACTCTATATATTTATCTTCCATCATCCGCAAAAGTATTCTTCAAATTCAAACTCAAATATTTCCTTATATTTTTCGTCTTTAAATGTTAAATAGTTAGTCCTTTCGAAGTGTGACGGAAAATTGAGTTTGGTTCAAAGTTAGTTGGAAAATTTAAGTTCTATAAAAGTGATTTTAATTATTGAATTTAATTGAATTCATGAGTTTAATTCCAGTACAATAAATGATCAAGTTTTTGATAAAGACAAAATAAATTAACCAATAGTAGATTAAAAATAAGTTTACTATATGAATTTGAACCACCTTAAGTCCAATATATTGGCTATTCTAACTCTTTTGAAAACTAGTTATTTTCTTTCTCTAAAAAAGTTGGTCATTTATTGCATGGGAAATAACCATGAGTAGAAATATCCCAAGAAAAATGTTAAGGAGACTCACTTAAAGTGTGACTCTTCATATAATTTCGTCATCTCATGTGTTTGGTATATGTTTCATAATGTTGGCACTAGAATTCTACGAAAAACATAAGGTGGTGGAGCATCCATGAAGAGTCCCACTTTTGAGAGAATCTTCTTAGCATTTCCCATATCTCAATAGAATAACCAATACTTTAAACTCAATTACATGAGATGAGGATCGTACATATATCACGTTTGTTAATGCGGTGGCTCATCGGTTAGCAAAGTTAGCTTTATCCATTTGTTCTTATGTGTTGGATGGAGGATACCCCGACTTAATTCATGAAGTCCTCCTCCAAGTTTTGGATTGTAATCTTGAATGATTTTCAGTAAATTATTGTCTCAACTCAAAAAATTAAAGAAAATTCAAAGCTCATTTGAGTAGTGCTTTTAAATGTCTAGAGCGATTTTAAAGAAATAATTTAAAAACACTTTCTAAACAAGCTCTTAATGTGCCAAATTCTTATGTATATAAATCTAAGTTTCCGCCGTGACGAATGAGATAGAAAAACGGTGCATAATCACACTATAAAAAAGGGGCAATTTGATCCAGGTCCAAAGAATTCACCAGTTTTCAGATTGGGTCCAATTTTATTTGATTTTTTATTACACCTAATTTGCCCCTTGAAAATAAAAAATATTTAAATTCTTTATTTTTGAATTTAAAATTTTAAAAATTTGAAGCTTCAAATACCTTTATCTACCCGTTTTCTAATTAAAAACAGTTTAAACAACCAATCTTATAAGTTTATGAAAAATTAAAAGAAACGTTGTCGAGGTACATAAAAAATTTGTGATGTAGGTAGATAATATTAATTAATCTATGATATAGGTAGACTATGAATAAAAGCCTATCGTATAGATAGATAACACAAAATAATATGTGATATATAGATAGACTAATGAGCAAAAACATATCATATAGGTAGATAACACAATTAATTTGAGATAGAAAAATTTGTGATTTATAGGTAGATAAAATACAATTAATCTATAACACAGGTAGAATAAACAAAATATACAAATAGATTCATTACAAAAATATATAATACAGGTAGATAAACAAAGCAATGCATTTCCTATAAAGGTTGAAAAGAAAAATATGTATAATCCAAGTTCAAACTAAAAATTAGGAAGAAATTAATAGTGCACGCATGAAACTCATTTTCATGGCAATGTTCCCAATCAAAATGACCTAACTAGTGCTATTGTGGGAGGACCTGGTGGGGATGAAAAGTAGGAAGATGCAAGATTTGATGCTACAAAACCAAAACCAACCACGTACATCAACCCACCTTTTGTTGGTGTATTCGCATACTTCAAAGCTCTATACCACCGAAAAAAATTAGAAATTGTTACCTTGTATTTCAAAAAGGAGGAAGAAATCATAAGAGCTTGAAAGAAGAAGAATGAACAAGAAGGAAGGGGATCGGAGAACACAGCACAAATTGTATACGGGAGTTATGGAAGAAGAGATATACTTTAAAACTAATTCTACAAGTAGGGGATTATTTAAAGATAAATAATCAATTATACTACTTTATACCTATAAAGCAGATATATTCTACTTACTCTATAGAAAGACAAAATTATTTTCTACGTCTACCTATGTATTAGGTATATAAACAAAATAAATAAAGTGCATTTGCTATGACGTTTTTACTTATAAAAAGAAAAGTTCATATAAACAAACAATAAACTAAGAAAGAAATTAATAGTGAGAGCCTACAATTATATATACACACCAACACGCACGGTTATGGTTTAGAAGGCTTTCTTCCTAGCCCTGTGGATAAATGTTCCAACATGAACACACATGGTTATGGGTTCCAAGGAGGAAGAAGATCACCACGCATAAAAATAATACTGTTTGTAGGGGAGTTATGAGGAAGAAGAGATAATATTATTTCAAACTAATCCTACAATTATGGGATTACTTTAATGATAAATAATCAATTATAATTAATTTTATAATACAAGTAAATCTAGAATTAAAAGATAATGTTAATAGAGGAGTAATTTTGACAAAAAATGATAATAAAATGACGTGGACAATGAGTCACTGGACTTAAACCAATAATTAAATAAAATTGGACTATATCTAGTAATTGCTTACAAATTTGGACTTATTTCAAGTTTCCCCTATAAAAAATCACAGCTCACACACATTTTTTTTTTAAGTTTTCTTTAGCACCCAATCAAATTGAGCAGGGACCTGGACCCAATAATTTAAACTTGGGCAGCCCATCGATAACGCTTGCACAATACCGTAGTGCAATTAGCAACATTTGATGTAGCAGACATCAACATTTATGAATAGACATCAAAACGTATTAACTTAAAAACAAAGCTCATACCAAAATGTCTTCGGAAATTACAATACTAGACATCAAAACGTATTAACTTCAAAACAAAAAGAAAAATATTCACACACGAATTTTCTCGTTCTGAACACACTTATGATTATGTTCCTTGATTGATTATCTTTTGACTGTTTCGATCCAAAAGTCAAAAACAAGCAGGGAGCGTGCGGGAAGATCAAGGGTGTGCACGAATCACTTCCCCAGACTTATGATCCAACTATTCAGAAGTTGGCCAACTTCTGAAGATGGCTTCGTCCTCCGAGGGCAGTGCCACACACAGAAATCCGAAGTAGGAAATTGGATGTAAACCTACTTTGTCTTCTGATGGCTAAAAACTCTAATTAGTTTCAGGACATGAGCTCCATGTTTTCTTCAATGCTTTCGCAGGGTCTAGGGCGTTTTATTCATTGCTTTCAGGAGTCTGGGGGACCTGCAAGTTCTCTTCATTGTTCGCAACCAAGTTCTGGAGGGCCTCTGGCTCCTCGCCCATTCATGCCTGCAAGCTAAGCAAATGATTAATGCATGAACAACCAGTTTCCAGAATGCATGGCCATAAGGCTGTATTTTAACAGCCTCACATATTTCCTGGCTATGACATAAGTAAAAAATTTCTTTTCGGGAGTGAAATTCAATTAAAGTGCCACTTTTCCTGGTATAATTAATGAACCTCCTACTGATTAGGACTACCATGGTTCAGAGTTGTTACCAAGAAAATTTCTATCATATGACGGCCTGCTCCAACCCTCCTCGACCAAAAGTAAGCTACACCGTATCATCAATTTCTCCACGGCATCTTCCTCTAGAACAGTTAATGAATCAGATGGTCGCCTTGCCTCTGTGATGGACGACCCTGCAGTATCAGATAATAATAATCTGTAATTCAACCACAAATACAGTAACAATTTGTTACTCGCTCAAAATATATACATCAATTGCATTAAGAGTAAACATGTTACCACTGCAAGGAAACCGTGCTCTCATTTTTGTGAGTGGTCATCGTCACCACTGCTCTCTTCAACCAACGCCAAGATGCCAGTGACATCAAGGGAAGATGTTAAACATCATTCCGCTGTTTTCTCTCTGCAGCAATGAAGTGGCATACGTTAGTCCCATCATGTTGTCCTGACTGATAAAATATTTGAATGCAATATACAATAAGTGTGATGGGTTTCTGAAATACATGTGACATATTGACAAAACCCTTTTTAATTATTCCCTCACTAACTAGGGGATAATTTAGCTAGGATCATATCCATGTGAATACGACAACCTGAGTACAAACAATCTGATTGATTTCGCATCCCAAAAAAACCACAAATCTTATGATTTCATCCGAAAACAGTCCATAATATTCATTTAAAGAACTTAATTATAAACAAAGGAGATCCATACGAATTTATAATGAAGCAAAATCTGACAAAATAATTCATCAATTTACACAAGAGTAAACATGTTACCGCTGCAGCACCTGAATGTTAAAAGTATCACAAGACACCTTACTAGCTCTGCTGTCGTCCATTTTGCCAGTTGATTCTTCCAACAATTCAATATTCCGGCCTTCCAATCTATTGATGGTCTGGTCGACTCAACTAGTAAATAAAAGCCAGGCATTAATTATGAAACTGCAGAATGTGGCAGGACTTATATCTCTGGTTTTGTTCATCTTGTTATATATATAGAGGTAGAAAACACTCCTTAGCTGACAAAACATTCCCTGGATGAAGTTCACTTAAAGTCCCGTTTTTCCCAGTTTGTATGAAACTCCTACTGATTAGGGTTCGCACTGCTATATGCAATAATGTAAATGGTCACACAACTATGGTTCAGAGCTGTTACCAAGAAAATTTCTAACATATGACAGCCTGCTCCAACCATCCACCATCAAAATTAGGATAAGGCGTATCATCAATTTCTCTGCGGCATCTTCCACAAAAACAGTTAAATGAATCAGACAGTCGCCTCTGTAGTGGATGATCCTGAAGAATCCAAATAAAGGTACTTTAATAGATTTTTTTATCAAAGTAGCATGTCATCATACATATAGAAATTAGAAAACGTACCTTTTTGTCCAGCTACAACCTTAGATATTCAAGTGATTGCTCATAAAATCCACAATGGTAGACAAGAATGCTATAATCTCTTAATTCCTTCGGATAAGCTTCTAGGAGAATAAGATGCCCACAAGCTGTGACAAAGTAGCCTTAACAGATGCAAACTGAAAACCACTGAGAAAATACAAAGTATCCTTATATATGTGCACTACGAAGTACCTGTCCTTTATGTTTCATCTATCAATAAAGTTAGCAGCATGTGCTGCCCTCAAGAATAAATTCCCCGGTTGATCATGCTGAAATGGCCAGAATAAGTTACTTTCAAAATGCGAGGACCTGTAAATAATCTTGAATGTAACATAGATCCATCAATTAAATGGCAAAGGAATACCTAAACTACAAGAATAAGCAATTAACAATATACCACAGGCAACATGATTCTCTTAAATGGAACATCTGGATGATGGATTTGAAAGTGCCAAGGGCTTAAGGCCAAATTAGTTAAAACTCACTACAAAAGATTAGATAGAGGCATACGAAAGACTAGATGCAATGTATCGAGAGGGGTTTGTAAATGACTGCACGAAAGGAGACATTTATAAATAGTTTGTTTATGTTATAATGATCACCTAGTGCATTTCAAATATCTATACCTAATGTTTTGTAGTTGATTTCTAACTAGCTTATCCTAGTTTATGTTATATATATGCACTTAAGTTGGATTAGTTTTAAGTAGAAACTACATTCACTTCGGACAAAGTACCTGTCTTCATTTACACTTGATCTATCAATAAATTTAGCAGCACCTGCTGCCCTCAAGAAAAAATTCCCTGGTTGATCATGCTGAAATGGGCCAGGATGCGCCCTTCAATTTTTTTGGATCTGTACAAATAGTAAACTATGAGACCAGATACAGCTAAGATTAATGCCTTGTACACATGTCCGAAGATCAAATATGCATGTAAATAAATTACATAAAGACAATGTCACTCACAAACAAATGTCACTCACAAACCCATGCTTACAACTGCTCAATTGAAATCTACTGGTTGACATTTACATCCTAGCGCATAGAACGTTTCATTTTTGAAAACTTATTAGCTGTTGGATGAAGGCTGGTGAACAAAAGCTTTTCTACTCATTGGTGAATTGTAAATCATGATTAGGAGGACCTGTAGATATGGTACCAACTCATGTCCATATCCATAATATCTGACAACATATATCGTACCAACTTATAAGCAGGTTCATAATATTCTGACTAAAGATAAATTAGAAACAATGGGGAACGAAAAGGTTGTTCACTCTTCAATTAAATGTCAAATGAATACCTAAATTACAAGAGTAATCAAATAACAATATACCACAGGCAACATGATTCTCTTAAATGGAACGTGTGGATGAGGGATTTGAAAGTGCCAAGCGCGGGCTTAAGTCTTAATTAGTTAAAATTCACTACAAAAGATTATGCGGAAGGATATGACAGACAAGATGCAATGCATCAAGAGGGATTTGTAAATGACTGCTTGAAAGGAGACATTTATAAATGCTTTGTTTATGTGTGTAATGATCATGTAGTGCATTTCAAATATCTATGTCTGATGTTTTGCAGTTGATTTCTAACTAATGTATCCTAAATTCCTTGGTACTTTCAAATCCTTCATCCAAACACCGGGTGAGAGAACTAGGAATTCTAGCATACACAACTCACTGACATAGGACAATGCAAATAAAGGCAAAAAGACAGGTCTGTCGATATAGTAACATAAGTCACCTCAGAATAACAAACGAGTAAGGCAGACTTCCATACCAAGTGGAGATATAGAGTTCATATTGGTCCTTCAGAAACCCTGAAATAAAGTTAAAAAAGGAATCTTGTGACTTAATGCTCTTTTCTTAATTTATTCATATTTGTCCAGCCAATCAGAGTGGTAACTGGTAACCAGTTAGAACCTTGATTCTAAGTCCTTCATAAGAATTACAAACAAAGACAAGTATTAAGAGAGTTTTACAGAATCTGAAGTGAAACTATTACAGAACCTTGATTAATTGAACAATTCAAGTGAAACTTTTACAGAATCTCAATCTTATATGTTATTGTATGAAAAATGGTGCTATGTACGAATCTGAATTTGACTTTAGATCTCACATGATGACTTGGTCATCTAACCGGAGGCAAGGAATGTGAGCTATCTTGCTCCACTCTTCTCCCGTCTTCTCCTGACACCTCTTCACCAGAGAAGGACATATGTCGATGCTCAGATAAGATAGCGATGCCGGCAAACCCTCTTTGGGCAGGAATTCGAGACTATCACATTTGTAAATTTCGAGCTTTTGAAGAGAAGTGAGGTGTTGAAGTCCCCTTCCCTCCAAAGATTTCAGACTTTTATTGTAAGAGATATGGAGAGTGAGAAGAGTGGTAGGGAGCGGCTGTTCCTTGAGCACCGTCTCCAACACATCCTCGCTTCCCTCGATCTCAAATGTTCGAAGGGAGACAAGTCGTTGCAAACCCCAGTACTCCACTGAAGGCCTCAGTTTCCCACAATCAGCGATTCGAAATGATTGTAGGTTGGGAGGCAAACCTCCTTCTGCAAATGACTCTACATTTGGAAGACCAGATATCCACAAGTATCGAAGGGTGGTGAGTGTGTGTATTCGATCGGGCAATAACTTCAAATTCTCGCATCCATAGACTGTAAAACTAGACAGGTTGGGAGTGGGCAACCCCCCGTGGGCAAAAGAGACCAGATTTGGACAATGATAGATACAGAGAGAATCGAGATGAGTGAGATTTTCAACATCAGCTCCTTCTCCAATGGAAAGGGATTCTAGATTTTTAATGCCCCAGATCTGAAGAGATGAAAGTTTGGGGAAAACGCCCAGCGGGAAGGACCTCAGTGAATCACAGCTCCAACATAATTCGAAACGTCGAAGGGATGTCAATTTGGCCATCATCTCATGAGATAGGAATTCTAATCTCCTGCAACTTCTTATACAAAGATTTGTCAACGAAGTGGGTAGACCATTTCTAGGGAACGACAGGAGGGACCCGCAATAATGGAGAGTCAATTTTTGAAGACGACTGCTCAAGTGCGGCTGCAAGCAATCTGTGCGACTAAAAATTTGAATATCAAGCATGGAAAGCGAGGACAGCGTCTCCGTCTCTAGTAACGACGAGAGACCAGGGCATCCTCTTATTTCCAGATCCTGAAGAGATTGTCGCAAGGATTCCGCGTTAACAATGAGAGACCAGGGTATCCACCTTCTCCTAGTAGCCCCTTCATGCAGAACCCCGCAGTGGGACACTCGAAGTTTTTTCAAGCGAGGAAGATAATCCGGCAAGTTTCCCCTCAGCTTCGGACAACTCTCTAAAACCAGCTCCTCGAGACGAGGAAAGTCTGGACATTGACTTCTACCCGGACTTGGCAGCCATTCTACCCATTCTGGCATCCCACTAAATTCCAGCTTCTCTAAGCAACGAAATGGCTGAATTAGAGAAAGTCCATTGACACCATAAAACTCAGCACCAATACTCGTAACAAATTTCATCTCCTCTATACAGAGCTCCTTAAGAGCGGGCAACTGCCCAACTGATGGCAACGACCAACAAGTACTAAAACCTTGGAGGCGCATGACTTTTATGTTGGAGAAGGAAGAGTCTCCCAACCAATTCGGAAAGCTTGTTCCACCATAACCTCTGATGGTCAGTTTCACCAAATTTACAGAAGGTTGTAATTTTTCAAGTACTTGTCTCTCTTTTATGGAATCATCTGCATCCTCTCTACCCCATGCCAACTCTATTTCATTGAGATCTTTCTTATCCTTCAAATTGGCCCGCAAGGCATCCACAACATGGACTACATTCTCTAGATTCATGATAGAAAGTTCCCCTCCAAGATTGGGCAACTCCCCCAATTCTCCAATGCCACCAGACCTAGTAGATGTCCCCAATACATAACCAGTGAGTGTTCTCAAACTTTTTAGTCTACCCATTTGCACCGGCATTTCTTTTATACCAGTATCTCTAATATCAAGATGGCGCAAATTAATCAGTTTCCTCATGTCTACAGGCAATTCAACAAGAGTGGAACAATGAGACAACAATAGAGTTTGCAAATTGTAGAGACCACTCACGGTATCTGGTAACCTTTTAATAGCAGTGTAAGAGAGGTCAATGTAGCGCAAATGTATGTGGTCCCCGATGCAATCAGGTAAGCGACTGACGTTTGTATATCCTGCCAAAGACAGTGCCCGTGAACATTTTAGTGTTGGCAACAAATCATTTGGAACCTTACTACTTAGATATGAATCCCAATAGTACTCCCTTAAAGAAATGGGTAAGAAGGTGCGCAAATATTTTACTCCATTTAATGGCTGAAATTTTTTAGCGGCATCAAATCTTCCTTTCGCATACGACAAATGTCGAACTCTTTTAGGAACTTCATATGATCCTTCCTCATCCATCCAAAAACAAAATTCTCTAGACACGAACATAGCCAAGTCATTAACGAGATCATGCATTGTGAATCCAGGCTCCTCGGTTCTTGATCTTTGAATTAGTGATCGTGATACTAATTCATTAAAATAGTTCTCTCCAACCTCCTCCATTCTTGCCCCGCCCTCAGCTTGTGAAATTAAACCCACAGCCATCCAAAGTCGAACCAAAGTATGCTTCTCAAATTCATAGTCCTTTGGAAAAATTGAGCAATAAGCGAAACATTGTTTTAAATAAGGAGGGAGGTAATGGAAACTCAATCTTAGAGATGGAAAAATACAATTTGCTTCTCGTAGCTCCCAAAGATTGCTATTCAATATATGATTCCATTTCTTGTAGTCCATGTTGCAACTTAAGAGACCTCCAAGTGTTTTCGCAGCTAAAGGCAGACCATTGCACTTACGTGCAATTTTTTTACCAATTTCTTCCAAGTCTGGATGTGCACTTGCGTTTTCATTTCTAAACGCATGTTTTGCAAGTAACAACCAACAATCATCATGCGACAATTGTTTTAAAGAGTGAATAGGAACAGTGTGCACGATGGATGCAACACTTTCGTTCCTTGTTGTCACAATGACCTTACTTCCCCTCGCCCCATAAGTGAAAGGAGCTTGTAGAACACTCCAATCATTATAATCGTCATTCCAAAGGTCATCCAACACAAGTAGAAACCTTTTCCCCGTTAGTTGTTCCCTAAGAGCAACTTGAAGCAAGCTCATATCTGACGTATCGCAGGGTTTTGAAGCAATTGACTGAACAAGGGTTTTAGTGACCCTAACAGCATCAAAGTCTTCGGAGACACACGCCCAAGCTCGAACATCGAAATGCTCTTTCACCCTGTCATTATTGTAAAGGAGTTGAGCAAGGGTTGTCTTACCAACTCCTCCCATTCCCCATATGGGGATTACAGATGTATTGCCGCCCCTTGCATCATCAGATAGCAGCAGTGTTTTCAACTTCGCTTCATCTTCATCCCTACCATAAGTACAGAATTCATGCTCAACGAAGGAAGTTGTGGGAGTTCTTTGTGAAAGCTTGCCCCTGACACCTTCTCTGAGACCGAGCACACGTTTCTGTTGTGCAAGGTTTTCTAGTTCTTCAAGTAACTCTTGAATCCTACCATTCATGCCCTGATAAAAAGGATTAAGAGTAGGAAGGAAGTTCCACACCTGGGTTTTCTTCGTTTGATATTCAGCTTCCACCTTGCTTCGCAAAACTTCAGTATCGATCTCATCCAGCAGGTCCTCGGCTTCGAAGACAGCATGTTTGAGCTCGTCAAGCCACTTTTCCACACGGCGATTCTCCATCTGCTTCTCCTCTGCATCATCAAGCACTGCATCAAGGGCCAGAAACGTCCGCTTCAGTTTCTTCAGGAGTGAATAGTCAAGTTTTTTTCCCCGGAATAAGTCCATCAACTCGCCAGAACCAATCTTGTCGCACAGCGTCTGGATGGAAGCAGAGAGAAAAGCCTCTGCAATCAAAGCCATTTTTTTTCCTTTCTTTCTTTCTGGAAACTAGTAATATGAGAGAAGCGTTTTGTAATGGAAACTGAAGCTTAAACTCTTATGAAATTCACATTTGGGAGTAGGACGACACACGTTAAAGCATAAAGAGAGAATTTGTGGTAGGCTAAAAATGCGTCGGTGCTACGGACGAATTGTCATGTGTTCACACGGTATATTTTACATCTCCAGATAAAACTAGATATTTGCGTGAATGGAAGCATTATCAAATAATAAGGTTACAAATTAAAAAGTTAAAAAATTTATTAAATAAAACACTTATATTAATTTATTGATTTTTCATATAATATATTACAATATCGTTCGGCATGTTTTATATTTTGAAAACATTGCATGACAGCTTCCAAATACCATCAAATCTTTATATATAAAAAAATAATTATGATATCATTCACTAATTGATCTCTCATTTGATTTCTCAATCAATTCTTCAAAATTTCACAACCTTTCAACGTTGATAGTAATAATTAAAAGTTAATATTAATATCACAAACAAATAAACTAATAATACATATAACATATTGGTAATGTCACAAGATTTAAAAACAAAAAACAAAAAAACAAAAAATGAGCTGGCCAATAATTCAATGGAGTACACACGTTAAAGCGTAAAGAGAGAATTGGTGGTTGTGCCTTGTTTTGTGGGTGGAAAAAGTCGGATTTGGATCCTCTCCTGAGCTAATGGAAAGGATCATCCTCATCAATCATCGTGGACCGTTAGATTTTTATCCAACAGCTACAATCATTATAATTTTAAAAGGACCTCCCTGTTTGGCTAGGTTGATAATGATGGGCTATAATAAAAGCTATTTTAGGTGGATTGTCTGCCCTTCTATTTCCATACCCTCTTCATGTTTTTTTGTTTGTGTGGTCATGATTAAGTCACATCAATATTTTATATTCCTATTACTTTTTATTTTATTATTTTTATAAAAAATTAATATAAAATATTGACGTGACTTAACCGTGACCACACATCACAGAAGGGCATAAAAAGAGTATAGAAATAGGAGGGCAGACAATCCACATCCATTTTCTTTCTTTTTTGGTAAAACTTATTGGTGCCTCGGTGGTGCATTATAATACTGTTTGTCTTAATATAATCCGGTAATTATTGCGCAATGAATTTGCATTACGAGTTCTTATTTTTACCATTTTATCTTCTAAGCTAGGTATTATATGAACAATTCTTCGCCATTTAAGAATGATTAAGAACTTACTCAAAATTTCTTATGTTCGAATTATAGAGTTTTTTGCTTATAATCAGAACCGTTGATATTATGAATCATCTATGAAGATTTCTCTGCAAAAATAAAATAAAATAAAAAATTAAAATTAAGATCGTTTAGTTAATCTGTTGTAACAAATACATAGATGGTTCGTAATGCTTTTAGTAATGGAAACTTTAACGAAAAGCTCTGGTACTGTTCACTTTAACGAAAAACTACATTTTTATACTAAAAAGTCAATTCTGGTACTATTCAATTTACCTTTATTTTATCTTTATCGTTAAAACTCAAAATTTCAAGTTTTTTTCATTAGTTTTCCTATTAGTAAGGGAATTCCGTTCATCTGTTTTTACACAGTTCGATGATTGAAAGACCTTAGTTTTAATTGATTTTTGCAGAGATGATCTTTTTAAAGTGATTTATAATATACACGGTTCTGATCATAAATACGAAGTTTTATGAATCAGCAACGAATATTTTTTGGTAAGAACTCCTACTCATCCTTTAAATAACCAAGTATTATTCTGTATCTTCCATCATCCGATAGGTATTCTCCAAATTCTTATTTCACAAACCAAACATTTTCTTTCTTTTTTTCTTCCTTAAATGTTAGATGGTTAGGTGTGACAACCCGTTCCAAATTTTACGTTTTTATTTTATTTTAAAAGCGTGAATTTACGAAATTGCCCTAGAGGCAAGGACTTTGACTTCCGTTGACCATCGACTTGAAAGATGTGAGACTTATTCTTTTAGCATATCCTCGTAGTACTCATTGGTACGAACGTATAGGAGAAAGCCGTTTGCGAGCCCGGATTATAACGGTATAGTTACGGACGTTTGAAATTGGTTATTCAAGGTTAGTGTTTATTTAAATTAAATCCCCACTTTGTGGGGGGAAGCCCAATCAGAAATGGAGGGAGAAAAGAAAAAAAAAAAGAAAAAAAAAAGGAAATGGGTTTTCGTCCACCTGCACCCACCGAGGGTGCCCATTTTCCAAGGCCGATCCCGGCCAACTCCGGTGGAGTTTTTCGATGCCACCACCACCATCTTGAAGCTCTCATTCCCCTCTATAAAACCCACCCAAGAGCCACCTTGATTAACCATGGGATGTGGAAGTTTGAGGCCACGAAAGTTGACGAAAATCAATGGTGCTCCGGCCACCCTTCTCGATTTTTCGGCAAATCGGCAAAGCAATGGCCGATGCCACCACTTGGGCTTTGTAGCCAATCATCCCAGGAGCAAAACCCAACCAACCTTGACCCCGTTGGACCACCGTAGACGACGAATCGACGTTGGGAAGTTTTAGGCACCCGCCGGCTTCGTGGGCAAAATTGACCATCTTCCGTCCACTTTTGGACTTCGTGGCAGGTATGAAAGTTGCTCCACTCACTGAGATCTTCATTTCTGTGAAGTTTGAGAATTTTTTGAAATAGTTGGATTTTCCGGCGATTCGGGGCGGCCAATACTATTTTTAGGCTATGTCGAATGTTTTGAATTCAGTTTTGTCATTTGAATGACGTAGGTTGATCGTTGGAACCTAAATTCGTTATGATACGTTACTTGATAAAAATGTGAATCGATGATCCGACCGTTGGATCGTCACCAAAATTGGATACATTATAATACGTAATATTTAAAGATCATAGGAATGTACGGATCGGGAATCCGACTTACGGATCTTCCTGAATTGGATTTGTAAGTTAGTAAAATAAATGTTCACGGCCACTTGTTTTAGGCAATTGGCGGAGATCTGACCGTTGGATCGTAATGAAATTTTAATATGTTATTCTAGAAACATATTGTGGATCGTTGGGAGTTGTGGATTGAAAATCTGATATGCGGATCTTCCGGGTCAAGTTATACAGGGTTGTAAACCCTACCGTCGATCTTTGATTGACGGTTGACTTGTGGTCAATGGGTATCAAATTATTTCAGAATGTCGTTGAGGTTGTGTTTTATGTGAATTGCGTATTCTACGGGTAAGAGTTCTGAGATGTGATTTGATAATTGGCCACAGGGACAGATCATTCAGGACGCCTCGATGCACGTGCTAGAGAAGTATAGCGTGGACTCCAGGTGAGTGGATCTTTTCCTTTTTATTTTGTATATTATTGAGAGTTCTATCGACACTTTTAAATTGATTAGGTATATTACCTTCATATAATTATTGTGAATGCTTGAAGTACCTATATGAACTACGAATGGCTTGATCCCTATTTAGGGTACGTAGGCAGTCTAACGAGATGTTAGATGCATCCATAAAATATTTGAGACAAAAGCCTTGCTTGGGAAATTGAGTAATGCGAAGGAAATTGGTAAAGACAAGTTTTAGTTTTGTGAATTAGTTAGTTAAATTAGAGTTAATTGGGTTGTCATGGATAATTATCCCTGAAAATAAGTAGTTTGGGAGTAGGGCGTTACTGATTGTACACTTCACACCATATTGTTTATAATTGAAAATGCTACGACATGGTTGAGTAGTAGATTGCATCATGATATATCCATATGTATATTACTTGCATATAATTATTGGGAATGCTTTCAAGTGCAAAGGTGAACTCAGGACACCCAGGTAAGTTCAGGTGAGTTTATGGTACTAGTTGAATTGATTACGTTATAGCATGACTACAGTTATGAATTAGGCAACTTCGATACTGTCGTACTGGTTGCCATGAGTTGCACATGTTTTATTGAGATGCATTGAGAGCTCATAAACCTGCACCCCGGTGTTAGTGCTCCCGGCCGTGGCCAGGGCACAGTCCTTCACGTGATGTTCACCTCCCGCACCTTATGCTCACCTTGGATCCAAGGTAGGTGCACAGTCCTGTCGTACAGACCACCTTAGGTGGTTCCGACTCGTAGGTGACCCGCGATTTATTCGCCCAGTCTTCACATGATCGTAGCACTCAAGCGTATTTATTTACACCCAGTCCTATCGTACAGACCACCTTAGGTGGTTCCGACTCGTGTGCAGGTATACTTATTGAACTATGGGCTAGCCAGGATTGATGAGATATGGATAAGTCGTACAGGTCACTATAGGTGACTCCGACTTATATGCTAGCCAGGATTGACGAGATATGGATAAGTCGTACAGGTCACTATAGGTGACTCCGACTTATATGCTAGTCATGATTGATGAGATACGGATAAGTTGTACATATCATTTTAGATGACTCTGACTGATATATCACTTTGTATTGATTTAGTTCATTTGGCCTACTTATTAATGTATGGTGGATTTGATGGCAAACCGTGGTTTTGGTCATTTCCGAGTATGGTTTGGATATATGTATATATGTTATACTGTCTTATGGAAAACGATACGGGTTTTACATTTAGGGGCATTACTTTTAGAGAGGTAGTAACTTTGGGAAGCTTGGTTTTATTGCTTACTCACACCTTCTGTTTGGTGCCCTCCAGGTTTTAGCTGCTGAGTTTGTATCGATAAGAATCTGTGGCGAATCTTAGTAGTGATGGATATTTTTGAGGGTATGATTCTTACCCACATTACTGTACCTTACTTATGCTCTGACATCGCACGTGAAATGGGTTCGCTCCCACTCGTAGCGCACTCTGGTATTTAGACACTTTTGGATTCAAATTCATTCACTTTTTATACACTATCACATTTTATGACTTCGTCACCTTCCAGGTGTCGGCCAACACAGCTCGATTCAGGGTCCAAGTGGACTTTCTGGATCGGGGTGTGTCATTAGGTCTTTCGCAGTGTGACAGAAAATTAAGTTTGGTTTAAA